GCAAATCCGACGAGAATGCACTCGAAGTCATTCTCCGCAAAATCTACAAGCGCGCCCTCGACCTTCCTGTCAGCACCTCTAACCAGTGCCTTTTGGGCTTGGGAATGGTGAACACCTTCAAGGAGCTGAGAGAGGCGCACTTGACAAACCAATATACTAGACTCTCTAAAACACCGTCGGGTCACCGCCTCCTTGCCCGGCTACACATCAATCACTCAATACACACGGAAGAGCGCGTACGGATTCCAGAAGTTTGGCGATACTCCTTGCACGTGCGCCCTCTTCCGGCTAACATGACCCGAGACGACTACACTGGCCGACGCCTCGCGCGGGCGGAAGCCTTGGCTCGACACTACGGCCACAAATTCGAGGTATTCTACGTGGACGCCTCCGGCCCGCACCACGGTGGTTGGTATACGGCTGCGGTCGTCCACCAAAACACCGTTGTAAACGGACTCACATTCCGTGCACATAACATTACGCACGCGGAGGAGATCGCCATCGCACTAGCCGCCGCAGATCAGGACTCGAGAGTCATCATCACCGACTCAAGGGGTGCCTGTCGCAATATTGAACAGGGATACATTCCGTACCATGCTTATAAAATATTGCAGAACAGCAGCTACCTAGGTGCCCCCGCGCACCGAACGATCATATGGGCTCCGGCTCACACGGGCCTCGATGGTAATGAGACGGCCGATGCCGCTGCCCGCGCGCTCACTCTCCGGGCACCATCCTCGTCCCCTACCGATCCGGAACTCGAACCCAATCCTGCCTACACCTTTAAGGAGATCACACAATTTTATCAATCCGGCCATAACGTCTATCCAAAACCCTGTAAGGGCCTCACGAAGGCGGAGGAGCGAATCCTTCTTCACCTTTACACTAAAACTCTATTGTGCCCGGCAATCATAAAACACTTTGACCCCGCATGCACGGGGAAGTGCCCGCATTGTGAGGAAAATTCCTCTGACATTTTCCACATGGTGTGGGCATGCCAAAAAACCCCAAACGTTACCCCACTACCCAACCCTTCGCGGGAGGACTGGGAGGCAGCCCTGCTCGGCTGCTTTGACCTGACGGCCCAACGGGCCCTGGTCGAGCATGCCCGGGCCGCGGCCAACGCCAATGGGCTCCCGTAAGAGGGAGCCCACCTAGTGTTTGTACGGGGCGGCCCCTTAAGGACCGTTCCCACCCTCCCTGTAAATAACATCTGTAAATAAATGTTTTTCAGCAGCAGAGACGGGGCAATGTGAGCAACGCCGGCGCGCACGCGCGCCAGGTCATGTCGAAGTGTATTGGCGCCTTGAGTGACATGTAGTCATGTTCTTACATGACATGCATCTCATGATTATAATGTTTGCACCACTCACGTACCTTCGTCATCCATCGACGTGACGTAATACCAGGTGGTATAGGTGAAGCTAGCGAAACGGCCGTGAGCGCATTATGAGAGCAGAATGTAGGCACGTTGTTACATGACACGCATCTCATGATTATCGTGTTTGCACCAGGCACATACATTTGTCATCCATTCACGTCCTTTAATACCAAATTAGGTATATGTGAAGTTAGCGGAACGGCCGCGAGCACATCATGAGCGTGGCATGTAGTCATGTTTGTAAATGACCCGCATGTTATGATTATTATGTTTTGCACCGGTCGCATAATTTCGCCATCCATTCGCGTCCCGTAATATCAAGTTTGGTATATGCGCAGCTAGCGAAACGGCCGCGAGCGCCTCATGAGTGTGGCGTGTCGTCATGTTGTTACATGACACGCATGTCCTGATTTTCATGTGGTCTGTTACTTGGGATCGCCATGCAGTTATGTCATACCTTACCAGTTTCGCAACAAGTCATGTGAACGAAACCATCGGAAGAGCAGCAAGACCATGAAATGTGAATCATGACATCATGACATGCATGTCATGATTTTCATGTTATGACTAGTCACTTATGCTTGTCGCACAGTCATGTTATGCCATACCAATTTCAGTATCTATACCATCATCGTAACGGCCAGGAGAGCTAAAAGTCTTAGGCGGATAGATAGATAGATAGATAGATAGATAGATAGATAGATAGATAGATAGATAGATAGATAGATAGATAGATAGATAGATAGATAGATAGATAGATAGATAGATAGATAGATAGATAGATAGATAGATACTCGAAGTCGCCGAAGTTCGTTACGAAATGCTCCGCATTCAATATGAAATGTTTAGAAACAGTGGGAAACGATTTAGAGTACTAGGTACTCTACTATGGGAGAGCATAAAGCCGCCCCGCGGGCCTCAGACTGACAACCTTGACTAATAAGCAATGTGTGTTTAGAAAAAAAAAATGCCGCCATATCCACGAAGTGAATGATGATGAGTGGGCGAAGCTCCGGAGGTAAACCTGGTAAACCATGAATCCTCCGTACATTTTGCCCACTCGATTTCATTGCAACGCTCCCCCTAGCGTACATCGCCGCACTATATCGAACGATGACACACGCCATATGTGGCATCATTCCTATTTTATAACACCTCGCATCTTTCATAATCAACTACACGTACCGCCGTCTAGTTTATAACATCTTGCATCTTTTGGACGGACGGACGGACGGATGGATGGATGGACGGACGGACGGATGGACGGATAGATGGATGGACGAATGGATGGATGGACGGACGGACGGACGGATGGATGGATGGATGGATGGATGGATGGATGGATGGATGGATGGATGGATGGATGGATGGATGGATGGATGGACGGATGGATATGGCTGTACCCTTTAGATCGGGCGGTGGCTAGCGTAATACTTAGAACTGAACGAGAGGTGGCTACATACAGGGGACGCACAGCCCACGCCTTAAGGAGCTTCGCTCCTAAAAGGTAGGTAACGATTTAGAGTACTAGAGATACTCTACTATGGGTTTGTGTGTTAAGAAAGAATGTTTAGCGATTTGGAGTACTCGGTGCTCTACTATGGGAGAGCTGAACGCCGTCCCTTGTGCCTCACTTTTGAGGAGGCAGCTTCAAGAACATGAACCTCGTGGCATCATCGCCACTGCGACCATTTAATGTGTTTAGAAGAAGTGGTTAACGATTTAGAGTACGTGGTACTCTACTATGGGAGAGCACTGAGCCGTCTCTGGATGTTTTGAAAAGAAGAAGCAGTTGTATAGGAAACCATGGTAAGTAGACTACCCTACGTTGAGTCCATTAATACAGCCTTCATAAGACTTCTAGTTGTTCGGGGCAGAGAAAGCCTTTTTAGGAAGAATTTGTAGACCGGTTATACTCCGACTGCTCCTTTTTTGTGAAGTACATGTTCAACGACTAAGCGCTTTTATATAGGACAACACGTGGCACCATTGGAATTAAACTTTGTTGCACGTATTTGATCGAGTAAGTGAAGTGACTCTACCATAAAGAAATGTTTCGCTTAATGTATAGAATGTTTTGCAGAAAAATTGCAGAAACTGGTACGTTTCCAAAATTGAAGAACGAAGTTTTCAAATCTGTAACTAATATATTGACATCAAGAATTCTGCATGGTTCCGTATGATAGCGATGCAATCTCCACGGAAGCAAAGGCTTTAGCTACACCGCATATGCGTGATTTATTTGAACCATCAGAATGGGTATATGGCGCCGCATGGTACAACATGAATTTACGATTACTTGTCACTATAGCGTAGTCATGAGAAAAATAAGTGTGTAGGAACACATATAAAATTTAAATGCAGGTGAAGTTGAACCTTCGTTATAGAATTTGTTGGACAAGTGTAGAAATTTTTTGCCAGGAAATACTTTGGTGAGAGTTACCACGGTTGACTTCCCGCCGGTAATTTTGACCTTATGTGACTCCTATATGTCACTGCAATGTGCCACATTCAACAATAACACAAATACGTGATAATTCATGACGTCATTCATGCCAGCTCAAGAAAATATGTATGTTATTGCTGGTCCTGTGGAGGCCAGTTTATAAAATGACCTACGGCATATATGCTAAAAAAAAGCAACGTACATTCGCTGATAGCTTGCAGATGGGGAAAATGCATCGACTAATTAACAATACTTTTACTAACTAAAATGTTCTCAGTACGTGCTGTACACTAACGTTTTTAGCAAAAAGCCTCGAAGATAGAAAATACCTGCGTTATTTAATGTGTGCGGCTTTTGCAAACGCCAATATTATTGACATTGCGGAATACAATAACCAACCTGGCAGTTATATAACAGTTAAGTGACTTGTGTATTGGACGCGTAGCGCGAGCAATTCACGTAGCTTCAGGTGAATGCAGCAGTGCAGCACTGCTTCACTTCAAGCCAAACTAACAGAAAATAAAAAAACGCCATATTTTTTCATATCTGACGCCCTTCACACATGAAATATTACATTGTATAATATTTTGGCAGATTTAATTAATTCAGCACTAAATTATGAAAATTTAACCGCGGATATGTAGATCCACCGAACCAACGTTGGCGCGAGTAGAGCGTGTACGCGCGTACGAGTGATCGCGCGAACAAATGCGTGCCCGGCCCAAGAGGCTAAACGTCGTGTCCTTACCTTCGTCGATGACGGACCTTCTTCTTTTGGCATTGCTGATACCGATCGGATCTAGAGAGCAATGGTTTCGAAAACGACAGAAAAATCTTCGCGCTCCCGCCCGTCTCCCAGTAGTAAACAACGCCGTTGCCTTGGCAACGCAGCTGGTTAATGGTGCAACTTCGAAAACAAATGGTGCGCAATCACGTGGTTGAGCACGCGATTCTCATCAACGTGTCTTAACGTAGTTTGTAAAAATAAAAAACGCCCTGTGCAACCGGAGGCAGCTCGCAAGCATTATTTCTGAGAATATGCTTACTGTCACAAACATGGCGCCGTGCGCTTCGGGCTTCCTGACGTCACTACTGTAATGCTAATCTAGCGTCACAGTTGACGCAAGTGGCGCGAGCGTGGGCGGCGTTGTCCGCACTCTGGTGCATCTCCTTGTTCCGAAACCCGTTACCGCAATGTCTGACATATGTGTGGCGAAGACGACCGCAGTTTTGGTGCCGTGATCGTGAAAGAAATTGTGCGTGAGTTGAGTCTAGGCACAGTGTAACCACGGAGGTGTCTGGACACGTCAGCTAAATCTGCAGTGTGGGGATGGATTGACGGGCATGAATTTGTGAACGCATTTGACCTGCCGGCACACGTTAAGCTGCATCGGAAACATGGAGTTCGCAAGGTCTGTTTTCGGAGGCAACTCCACAGAAGGATACAGCCGAAAAAACACGGAAGGTAAGCGGGCTAAACGTTTAATCTGAGACTAAAATAAACCTCGTGATTGTTGAATACGAGGTGCTGCCGCATTAAAAGGCGTCTATACAGCCAGACTGTCGCTAGACAGTTGCTCAGCCAGTCATTGCGTGACCGGCATCAGCTAGTACAGTGTACTAGCACAGCTACGTACGGTACTGTTTTTCTAACCCGTTTTGACCACGGATGCAGTGCAGTTAGACTTAATTGTGTACAGTAAGCAGCTGAGCCTTTACTTGCGCCCGCGAGATCGACAGAAACAGCAGCGCGCCCAATTGTTGGCCGAGCGTGGTCCCCACGATGTTTGTAAGGCGTTGGGTGTGCATTTTAATTTGGTTCTATACTCTTTAGACGACACTTCAAAGGTACTTTAAGCACTGCAGGACTGCGCATAAATGCGAGGTGTTTGAAAATTGTTTACAAGCTTCTTGGTTGCTTGAAAAAAAAAAAAAAAACAGAAAACAGATGACGCTTGAAGTAATCTGGCACCATTCCGTTTCATAATTAGCTGCAGCATACAATGGGTAATTCCGTTTCATAATTAGCTGCCGCATACAATGGGTACACCAGTGGCAACAAAAACAAAACAAAGAAGCCGGAGAAAAACATAATGTTCGCACATAAGGAATAATATTCAGTACTGGCAGCTATATGTAAATACAAGACATTTATGCGAGGTACATTAATGCAGAACTTGAATCACGCGTCATTTTTATACCCAAAGACGTCGTAAAAAATAATGAATTGATATCGTCAAATAATGTCCCCAAATAGACCAATGAGTGATGGCTGTCGTACTTGTATTTCATAACTGCCATTCGTGGGCTTTAAAACACGTAGTTGTATGTTCTTAAAGGGAATTTGAGAATCATTTTGTTTTTGTATGTAACAAACCTTGGTGTGCTCAGGGAAGCGTTGGCACAGTGCAAGGGGCCATTGAGAATCATTTTGTTTTCGTACATAACAAACCCAGGTGTGCTCAGGGAGGCGTTGGCACAGCGCGAGTCAGAAAGTCAGCTGCGAATTAGGCCATAATATTGACGTTTGAATGATTCAGTCGTGATATTAGACCAGATTCGATTGCGAGACAAGGAAACAATTCAAGGAACAAGGCCGTCATCGCATATGACAGGGAACAGCTGGCTTTTAAAGATGTGGCAGCTGGAACGGCAGGCGCTGTTTTAGTTGAATATGTCAGATGAACTGCCACTGCATCTCTGCCGGCACACACTCATCAGCACTTGAAAATGCTGGCGATAGACGCAGACACTTGTTCTGCGGTGGCATACGCAACAAGCCAAATTGCGTGCAGCTTGTCATGCATTGTGGAATATTGCAGTGTTTGTGGAAGTTGTTTGGGTGCGACAGTCTCTTCGGCATTCGAGTTACCACATCAGGTGCTGTGCAACTTTGTTGGGCGTCTTGCTTTTGGCAGCTTTCATTCAGCAGGATCTAAGACTTTCCATAGCAGCCGTTGGCTGTTGCATCTACCACAACCAACCTTTTTTTTTTTGTTTTGTTAGAACTGTCAACGAGGCATGTTTTATTGCACGTCATTCGATCCACTGATTTCGTTATGCGTTACTTAACATTTCAAGTCGGAAGTAATCAATAAATTGAAAACAACGTTTGTGATATTACAGGCATGTCTCATTGAATGGGCTTTCCTTCTTCAGAAGACTTCAGGACATGTCCTTTTGTCAAAAGTTCAGCTCCCGAATCAAGATTGTCTTTTTTAACCACTGCGTACTTAACAATTTATCTTTTGTTTGCGAACTGCTTGTCTTATACGTGTGCTGACATGTGACATACACCAATACTTCTGATTTGCAAAGGATTTTGTGGAGTTAAGCTTGCATTTCTCTCTGCATTTTTTTATTGCAGTAGACATGATAAAATGCTTGTTGTTCTAACAAGTGTGTACTCATCAGTAATCCCATACGAATGGCATCGAGGGTTCCAGTGCCGAGTACAAACTTGAGCCATGACATCCCCCAACAAGAGCTCGAGAAGTGAATCTCGAAGGCCATGCTTTTGACTGGTTGCACGTGCTAGGGTTTCAGCCAGGGTGTCAGGTGCGAGTTCCTTGGCATTCTTCGCATTATAAAATCTGCAGCATAGCATTCTCTTCATAATAGTGCTGGGAGTTCACAGCCAATCATGAGAGAACATAGTGGGAACGATGTGTGTTTAGAGAATTTTGACGCATAGGTGTCTGCGAATTCCTTGCTGGGGCTGGACACCAGAACCATTAATACGAAAAAGCAAAAAGTATGTACTAGTGAGGAATGTATAAATTGAATTTTACTGTGTTTTATGTTACTTGTCTATTTGCCCGCTTTTAATTAATCTACAATCGCACTAGAGTGAGTGACCAACAATTGTAGGTTTTCCATAGCCGATAAAGAACGGAACAGAAAAAACTTTATTAAAACGTAAAATATTCTGACTGGAGGAGAGAGAAGCAACCTAAGAGTCCAGGATATCATAGCAGCAAATGTTTGACTGGATTGTCTAAAGGGACACTAAAGTCGAATAACAATTTACGTCACAGTGAAAGCTCAATGTATGACAACATCTAAAACGACAATATTATCAACAGCAATGCCTTACTTACCGAGAAATTAAGGTACATGTGCCGTAGTAGGACATTCTCAAAGATATACCGATGACATCAGACGAACTGCCTACAATTAATCACTAGTAATCAATCTAACTGCACTTAATAAAGAACCTTCCGTGCATCAAGAGATGCAATAAAATACTGCTTGTTTGTTTCTGTTTAATTAGTGGAAAAAGTACCGCAGGATGTTACTGTGGGGAATGGTGTGAGTGTTCAAAAAATTTTATTTTTGTGTGGTTACACTGGACAGGTCGGGCCATCTAGCTGGGCGCAGTTTAATTAATACACGTCTGCCATCTTGGAAAATATGGTAGGAAATTAAGAAATTGATCTATGTCCATTGTTGCTGCTCTGGCTCCCGCTGCCTTCGTTCTGTCTACTCGTGTCAGCGACCGCGCAGTAAAGCCGGGCAATGGTGTGCATGACAACAGTGACGTGAGTCTGTCCGCTTCTTGAGGCGAGTAATTTGAAGTGCGCTAACCCGAGGAGGACCACTGAAACGCGATATTATTTCAAAAAAGGCCATTTCTTGGCACAAAAGTTAAACGACGAGGTTTCTGGACCGCTATTTCAACAATCAACCTCGGCTTAATCGTTGCCTTTAGTGTCCTTTTAAATAGCTCAAAGGTGTAACTGTACCCAAGCATGCGTGTGCTGCAGCCTGCTCATCAAATGCAGGCTTGTTTTGACTTCAGGAATGAAGTTGTAGGCCAGTTGGCGTAACCTTACCAAATGCAACGGGGGGAACCAACTAGCAGGACTGCAGAAGAACGAGTGAGCACTCAGTAGCGACGTTATGGAAAGTTGGTGCTCGTTTTATTCATACTAATTAGCTCGTCATCCTATATGCTTAGCAGCCTGCTAAAATTTTACAGAACAGTCTGTGAACAGTCTCATAATCTCCCCTGATGCATTCACCTAAGATGACACAATTCCAAAAGCCGCATTCTTCTTATGCTTTCTCTTCTGAATCGATTGTATTGATCCTCTGTGATCTATCAGTGACATCACCGTGACTTTTTGTAGCCTTCATGTTTAGGCCAGCGTTGCTTTTAGTGTTTCGTGAGGCAAACAAAAGTTAAGCCTTTGCCTTAATAAGATGAGGGTGAAGCAAGTTTTCTACAACAGTATAGATGCTTTTGTAAATAGTGGCAGTGCGAACCTTACTGCATTGTTGCCTAACTTTTATCATAATTCAAATACGACTGTTCATCAACTTGTCAGACCTCCTGTACAGGTACTGACATTCAAGTAGCTAGGTTTCACGTTGTCCTTTCCTCAACCTTGTTTTTACAGCAAAAGCTCTTAAGAGATCATGACAACTATTTTTTGGCACTGTAGTTGTCCACCACCAGTGTCCGTCACCAGTGTCCGTAACCAGTATCCTGCGAAATAAGCAAAAAAATGAAATAAAAAAATATCGAGCATGTAGCAGTGTTCGAACTTGGGCCCTCTCGTGGCAGCCCATTATTCCTACCACAGCTATGCCTGTGCTTTAAATGTCTTCACACAAAGACTCTATACAGGCTCTATACAGGCTATATGTCGGAAAGGAACGACATCAACATATGTGATGCAGCGTGGTGGAGGAGTAAAATAAAAACCAGGCATCGCAGAATGCGAATTGTGTGACCAGGTGTCATGCAGTGCAAATAGCGTAATGAGTGGCCTGTCGAATGCATCCAACCCATTACACAAGCCCCAGTTTAATTCTTTGTCGTCAGCCACAGCATCAGCAAATCGCACATGCCTTACAGGTGCATTGCAGGTACTGCACTTCTCAGCATAATGATTAATAATGGCATATTGGATGTTTCCCTACTTCAAAAAATTATGATGATTTATAACGTAGTGACCTGGCTCATGTACTTACATGTGTCATGGGATCACACAGTGAGTTGTATGAGCTATTTCCAAGCACTTGTCATCAGTGATTTCATCGATGATATCACTGTACTTACTGGCAAGTGTTTGCAACAATAATAAACTGAGGATTAATTTTACTGTAATCTTGGGCATTCATATCCACACTGTACAGGGCTTTAATAAGTACTTTGGTCCACTTTACTGAACCGTACTATTACAACGTTCAGCTTGTGGGAATTTTTAATGTATGCAGTACACTGCACTTTGGAAAAGAATTAATTTCTTCTTACGACTGCCTTTCAAAGTATAGCTTCAGATGTTTGGCAATGACAGCTTCAAAGGGGGGGGGGGGTGGGGGGGCTAATGTGAATCAAATTAGCAAAGTGCAAAACTGGGAAGAGGCTGTTTGAGTACAAAGACTGAATGCCATTAATATTCATGCCTCTGTTATTGTCATGCATTTTATTTTATTTAGTTCACTTTAAGGGGCTGTCCGCACATGGTCAGCTTCCCTGCTTTCAATGATTCCTTTACGATTCACCATTTATTTGCAGAATATCGATCCTAATTGTGAGCCTCCAAGTGGTGAGATCTTTTGCGCGGCTCAGTGGGTTCGCAGCAACAGCTGCTCTTTGCTACCTGCGTTCCTTTTATGCCGGGCACAGTTAGAGGTACTAAAATGTGCACTTCCAAGTCTATGCATAGGAAGCTTGCACTTTAAGAGGATACTTCGAAGCCATTGCGCAACGTTTTGCCGGCGTGATATGGCGCTATTCGCCGTTGAAGTCGGAGGTCGCAGTTGATGAAATCATGATTAAGAAAGCCATGTCAGGTAAATGAGCAAGTCTTTTGTAGCGACATCAACAATGACTCACTCTTTGCTTTCGTTGTTCGTATGCCTTTTTTTTCTTGTTTTTCTGGTGAACTTTGCAGCAATTCAAAGGTCGAGTTTGATGCCTTGGAACTTGACTGTTGTGGATACTTCACTTGTGTGAGAACCAGAAAAGGAATAGTCGAATCTTCTTAATCAGAAGTGTTATGTGTAGAGGTATTAGCTGCCCCTGTTATCCACCAGCAACAGTGAGCCAACATTTGCCATTGCTGGCATTGTGTGAACATCCTGACGGACTTTCAAAGTGAAGCTTGTTATGAGTGGTAGGTTTAAATGGTGGCGGCATTGTATGTAAAAAAAACTGATGCCAGGCAGTGTGCGGAAGCATCATCCTCCAACGTGTGCAGGTCATGCGCATATTGCACGTGCCGTTTTCCAATAATAGACGCTCTCACGATTGTGGGCTTATCGGTGATTAGCCGTTTCTGATATGACAGTGTTTTGTTGGTGTGACTTGTCATTTAAGGCTGACACATTTTGTTGTTATCTCGTAAAGAACCCACGGCTGTCATTATTGCCTAGGGCAGCTGAAGTGTTGCACTACTAAATGCGTGAACTATGGTTCGATGTCTAACGTGGAAAAAGGAAGAAGGGAGGAGGGAGGGAACAATATGCAATTTGTTGGAAAGATAGAAAGAAGAAGTAGTTGTTCAGGTAAACACCGAGCTTCAATTTTCACACTAGAGGGAGGGCTCCTAAATATTTTAGCGCAATATTATCCTCTCTTATATGTGCAGCATTGGTTATAGATCTACATTACAGTTTTTAATTAATTTTTAATTATGCCACTATTGGTTCTGTCTCCTAGTTCTAGCCTTTAAAATGGCTTTCAGGTGAAACCGAACATCTATTCTGGAACTCTAGCTTACCGCTCGTGTTAGAATTGAAGAGGGAAGGCTGCAGAAAGCATTAAAGCAGTGCCTTCTTATGCTGATATGTTGCCGATTGATCCTAATCGCTGTGCAGTGGAGACGTTATCCGAGGATGAGGAGGACGTGCGTTGCGGCGAAAGTGACTGCGGTGGCGGAGATTCTATCAGCGCCAACCTATTTGGCGGCGGCTCGGCCCAGGGCTACAGTCCGGCACCCGGAGGTCCGTTCTCGGCTCTCACTCCGTCCATGTGGCCTCAAGACCTGCTGGCCTCGCTCGCCCAGGCAAGCGCCGTGTATTTCAGCCATTGTTGCCATTCACGTATTAACTGTGGCACACACCCACTGTGGGGGATTGGAGGAGAATTTAGTGGCTTTATAAAATAGTATGAAGTTCTAGAATAATGGAGGGTATTTAATAAAAAGCTTACAGATTACACAATAAAAAATGGTGCTGGATGTAATGTACATACCTCTTTAAAAAAAGACAACAAGAAAAAAAAAACAAAGCTCTTCGTAAACATTTGTCACCTTGTTTTTTTGCTCTCCAACCCTTATGCTCGCTAACCATGAAAAAGGCGGCCTTTTTCTGACAGTGCTACAAATCACCACGATAGCTTGTCTCCTAAATTTTTTTCTGGAGAATGTAAATCTGGTTGTCCCAGTGAGCAGGCGAGTGCTGGCCTCGCACTGTGTGTTGTGGCCTCGCCGCGTCATAGCTGCCGAAAGCCCGAAGTGCGGCCGCCGCTCGTTCAGACTTTTCACAATAAAGAACTACCTGTGAAAGAAAACAGTGAGCTTTCAGAAACTACATACACCTGACTTTCTTTTATTCTTCTTAACACTTTTTCTAAAATACTGTTACACACTTAGTAGAAATACACTGTAAGCCTTTCAGAGTGCGAAATCGGTATAAACATCAATATGGGCAAAGCAAGTAAAACAGTGTCAAATAATGTTTGTCTTGGGTAAGCATAACACAGTAGTAACATAATAATGCACTTATAGAATGCCAGTAATGCATTCATGCGTTAATAAAAACAACAACAAAGTGCTCCAGACCAACGAGATCCTGATACAGTGTTACTACAACAAGCTTTGCGATCATTTATGAAACAGTGTTAATTCCAATTTATTCTGCATGCACTGTTTCATATTTTTATTACTAAGTACTGTACACCGCTGACTCTTCTGCCTCTGCAGTATAGCCAACTGACTTCAGTCCTGGTAAACTGTCCCAATTTTTATCAGTCCATTTGTTCATTACATGTATTCATGCACAGTTCAGGCCGTATCTTGAATCAGCGTAGAGATGTGTAACCTCCCTTGCCTGTCCCTCGGTTCTGGTTCCCATGTCTTTCTCTGAACAGTGCGCTCACCCCTCTGTTCTCACTGCCCCTGCAGCAGTATTCTCTTTGTCGCATGGTTTGGTTGATTGTGAACTCAACATTCCACACAGCTCCTGTATTGAAGAGTTATGCGGCAGGTTTTTTCTACTTTTCTCGTTGCTTAGCATGTACACTCAAACCTCATTCTAACGAAATTGAATCTTACACAAATATAAGCTCGTTGCAACCAAAAATTTGTTATAAAGGTACATTTTTAACACTATGTCTATTGCAAGACTACCTGTATTTATTGTCCATTTGCTTTGTTATAACCGATGTTTTGTTGTATCCAGGTTCGTTTTGACGAGGTTTGAGTGTAACAGCTGCAGCCACATCTCATCATTGTATATTGTGTCTTTTTTTAGGGTGCAAAGTTTATTTCCAGCTCATAACGTCATATACAATCTTAATATACTCTGAAGCATTCTCATTGTTCACTTGAGGTATTGACAAACATTCCTGCTGACTGAAAAGCACGGTTACATTTTCGCAGCCTGTAATACCCCCTTGAACTATTTATCATCGTTTTTACGTGGCATTTACCGGACACACGAGGCACGTGTGGCTGCTGCCTGGCTTGACGCCTGAACTTCTGACTTGTGCCCCCATCACTCGGCAAATGTAATGCCATCTGCGTGAAATGACACCAGGCGAACTTAACGTCGTCTTTTCTATGTGCTGCCCGTGACCAAAATAAATGCCTCCGGTTTCATGGTTTGGAGAGAGAGAAAGCTATCACAACTTTTTAAACATTTGTATGCCTTCTCTCTTGATATGTGCTTGCCCATTTTAAAAGAATTTTTCGCATCTGCACAACATAAACCAAGCCAAGATAGATGTGAAAAACTACATGGCTGACATGATGAAAGGGTTTGAGAACAGCAGAGCTGCTTGTTGCAATTAAACAAACTATCTTAAAATTCACTGAATGGAAAAACACGGGTCTCTAGCAATTTGTTTTATAGGTCTGTGGAATTTGGATTCTGCATTTTGTCCCAAGTTTGATTAAATCAAGTTCAGCAAGCCCGTTCGATGGAAACTATTGTTTTCAGTGAATGTCATTAGTTTTTCCATGTGATAGTATACAAATGTCATTGCTGTAAATGACATTATGTTTGCCTTTTGACACGGCTTTACATACTGGAGTCACGTAGCGCACTGCTGATCACAACTAAGCCCGAACGGTATTAAACCTCCCAACTGTTATTGGCCTCCTTATGCAGGTTGCGAGAAGGAGCCAATTACAATCGAGAAATTCTGCACATTCTATGCTTGATGTGATCGAAAGTGACTGTGTGAGACTAGCATTAATGCCTCAGTAGCCTCTATGAGCAGTTCCTTTTCATTCAGTGACGAATATTGAGCAAGTATAGTATTGAATTGAATTGAGTTTTATTGACATAAAAATAGTGCACAGTATACAACAGTGTAAAAAAATGCATCTGAATACCTAGCCAAAGGCTAGTTGGGATTCATTCAAAAATGTAATTTAGAAAAGGGCATGTCATTTACACACAAAAGAAAGTTTACAAATGCCAGTATTTTACACATGGAGAACTGAACATTACATGCCGCTTACAAGTATTACATTAACATTACATGAACATTACAAGTATTACATGCCGGACATGTCTGTTAAAGGAATGAGGTATGCAGACCTGTTTCACAAAAACTGAAGGAACGAGTAATTGAGGCGAACTGTTTATCAGTTTGATCTATGGTGAGAAGTGTCTGTGCTTTGTGTCTTACTCAGCCTGAAGATACTGGCTGCCACCATGACTGCCGCTTTGATGAGTTTGGATTCAGGATAGAAGACGAAGGTGAGGTGTATTAATTATTGTGCTTAATGTGTATAATTATTGTGCTTAACGTGCAGCAGCAGCAGCCTGACTAGGTCCACTGCAGGACAAAGGCATCTCCCATGTTCCGCCAATTAACTCGATCCTGTGCTTGCTGCTGCCAATTTATACTCGCAAACTTCTTAATCTCATCTGCCCACCTAACTTTTTGTCTCACCCTAACCCGCTTGCCTTCTCTGGGAATCCAGTTAGTTTCCCTAATGACCAGCAGTTGTCTTGTCTATGCACTAAATAAGCGAGAACATAAGCTGCCCTAAACCTTCAGTACCGAGTAAAGCTTACTTGTAACCCGAAGGTCACAGGATCAAATCCCGGCAGTGGTGGCGAGATATTTTATGGAGGCGATTAGGCTTGAGGCCTGCATACCTAGATTTAGGTGCACGTTAAAAAACCTTAAGTGGTCGAAATATCCTGAGCCCTCCCCTACGGCGTTCTCTCATTATCATATCATAGTTTTTGGATGTTAAACCCAGATAATATTATGATTAATAAAGCTGACCTGTAATAATGCATTGCGCTTATAACATTGCAGAAAATGTATTTTGCTGAAACTGTGCCTTAAGTATAAGCCTGCGCATTTTACTCTGCGTGGAATTCCCACACAATTTAGTGTGCGTATCTGTAGCTTGAACGGTTAGTCAAACTTGGTTATCTTTTAGAAGGGATAAGATTGATCACTTTGTACGCAGCTGACAGTAAGAGTACAGTGGACTCTCAATTAATTGAACCTAAAGGGACCAGGAAAATAGGTTCCGTTTAACAGGAGTTTCGTTTACCGAGAGGTGAACAAGGGTGCAGAATACAAGTGCGATACCAATCTTGTCGGGAGCACTTGTTCTATCTAAGTAGCAGTTCCATTTAGCAGATATCCGTTTACTGAGAGTCTATTGTAGCTAAATCTAAAGTGAAGGTGTCGTGTATGTCGTCACACTGTCGTCATTATGGTTTGTATATTTGTCATTTTTTATCATGAAACCATCATTATAGTGTGTCATTTAACTGATGTGAACAACAGTGAAGAACTTGAGGATAGCAAAGGTGTCCGAATCTTCCCAAGCAGAACATTGACTTGATGTGATTGGCTTGCGTTGTGGTTTTCTTGTGGCATGTGAGCACTTCTTTATTTTTATCACCTTTTTTGTCGCCATTGCTTGCATTCTGAAAGGAGCGTCTCTCCAGCTTGTTTTTACTTGTTCACTGAGTGAATGTGAACGTTGCATCACCATCCGTCATGTGTTGCAGATGGACCCGAACAGACGAGCCGCGGTGTTGACAGTGAGGAGCCATTTCAGGAGAACGCCCAGCACAGGCTCCAGTGGATCGCGTACCTGGAATTCACCCACAACAATGAAGTTGGAGACCTCACCTGGGACAAGGTGTGTTGTGCTGCTGCGCAATGGGCGCATGAGAGCTTCAGAGCCTGACTGAGTGGAAATAATACTGTAACTCGCAACAGCAGTTGCTAACCTGTGATTATTTTGCTATCAGGAAGTATTCACCCCTGTCGATAAGGTGATGCCAGTTTGGTAAAGGCTCTGAAAGCTTTTTTGTCTATAGCATGAGTCGGCAACCTGCAGCCCGCAAGGCAAGTTTACGTGGCTCCAGCACAACATGAGAATGCCCCCTTGTAACTACCTGTAAAGGTCAGCATGCCAGTTCTGACCTCGAATGAGGATTTCACTCGCTAACTGTGGTTGTAAATTGCAACCGTGTGAGATGCATGCCGCAAATAAACATTACTTTATTCTGCTTTTGTAAATCATGTCAATTCACAAGATTTTTTTCAAATTGCCTGCGAAGTGCCCTCCCTACTCCCTGATTTGTCAGTTTCATGCAAACTTGGCTCTCTGCCTGAAAACAGTGCCGATGCCCACCCTTTAGCAACAGCATGACAATGGCTGAGGTACTCTTTGACATGATCGCATATAAATAGTTGCATACAGCATTGAATCTACAAGCTTCAATGTGAACTTGCTAATCTCTTTTTTCTTTCTTTTCCTTCCTCTTTCACGGTGAATTGATATGTCTGGTTCAACGATGTCCGACTTTTCTCCCATTTATCCCAACGTTGTGTATGTACTGATCCACTTGCCACAGCCTGCTGTCACCTGATATATTTGTGTGCACTCTCATTTAACATACCTTTCATCTGCCAACTGGGTCCTCATTTTACAGTTGTGGTCGCCTCTTTGGAGAATAAACACAGTAAATTTTCAGTGTTATGAATTTGAACCTAGTGATGCCTTTGTTATTGACGAAACGACTATGCAGAATCAAGAAAGAATAATTCAGTACATCATCTTCGGATTTCTCATGCATGCATGAAAATTTCACGATATGTGTGACATCAGAGGTGGCATGCTTTTGAGAAGGCATACCTATCGTCCTCAGCTCCATAAGCGAAGCGATTCAAATGTCATAAGCACACGAATAATTTTTGGATGTCAGGTTAATTTATTATTACAGTAGTACTAAGTGTACTCATGTCATACCTGTTGTCAAATCGACTTTTTTTTTACTTGTACTTTTAGTTTTCTCTTGCTGCGCTTTGTCGTGGTACACAGATGTAATTGTAGACGTTTTATCTAATGCGTACTGATCTTGCTACATACTATTCTGTTCACTTGCTGTGTTAGTTATTACCCCATATATTTGTATAATTAACTGAAGGTCCCACTACACTTTTTTTTTACTTTGGAACTTTTGCCTGTATATTTGTTGATGTTGTAACATTTTTTAAAGCAATAAACTGAAACTGAAACTGGACCTCTTCATAAGAGACACTGATATCAGAGACAAATGGGTATAAGAAACACCAGTGTGCTTATAGTAAAATTCAGGTTGATAAGAAAATACATACAAAGTACCCTGCTTATAACAGACATCTCATATCAAAGAGAAGAATTGCTGCCCAGAGCATGTCTTTCGTAAAGAGGTTGAACGGTGCACTGTTGTTTCTGTGGAAAGTACATAAAAAGTGTGAGCCCGCGCCGATGTGTCATTTTTTTCGCTATTCGGGCTGTGGGTACCATCTGTGTCTGCCATGCCTGTCAGGTGGAGCCACACCTGCCACACACGCCCAAACTGCAAGGCCTGCTGCACGAAGGTGGCATTCCCCACTCGCTGCGGCCACAGCTGTGGATGCACCTGTCGGGAGCAGCCCGTAAGAAGAGACAAGCTGGCCTCACCTACCGCGAGGTTGTTCGGGCCTCCGCAAATGACCACCTGCTCACGTCCAAGCAGATTGAGAAGGTGTGTACTATGTGCGCTGCTCTATAACCTCTGGTTTGGTGTTGTTATTCGAAAGATAGGCCCTATACCACTGACCACAAAAGCTTTAAATGGCAGTAACTACGGGGTTTTTCAAACTATACTACGACATCGTTGTTTCGAGAATGAATTGGCAGCCCTGTAATCAATAGGCCGCCCAATTTACTTGGGTCAGGATTAATATTCAAATGACCTAGGACCGATGCGCCGAAACTTAAACGGTTATCCGATTTGTGTAAGGTCTACGATAACATCACAGCCTTACCACACCGTTACGTAAACACAGTACGTGTGCTAAATGGGCAGCGTCATTTTACAACATAGGAAGCTGGGACAGTTTTTTAGATCTTGATAGCACTGATTTCAGCTATGATATCAACACTGAATGGCTGCTGGCTAGCACTGAGTGAGGTAGGCTTCACAAACTTGGGGTAGCCTCTAGTTAATTAGTGGGTGCACTTTGCAAATTCACAACCAGTCTTTCAACTTTCTTTCCGGGAAAGGTAAACTAATCAGTTGTTTCGGGCACTATTCACCAGAGTACAAGAGAGCAACTGTGCTGACAATTTTATTGAAATCAGCAAACATCGAAAAATTGGTGGATCTGTTGCTCTTTAGAAAGACATTTGGAAGCCACAGACAGGTATCTTTATTAGCCAGAGACCAAAACACTTGTTTGCTTATATTAGTGCTCACAGAAAGCATTGCCAAGTCATTAATGAGAGCCTTGAAGGCTTGGTGGATACAGTGTCACAGTCTTCTGCTAGCTGCTACCACAGAGAACATAGTTAAGCTGATACCCATTAGTATCTTAATTGTGATCAATTAAGCTCCAAAGCAGTGCCTGTTTTTTGGAGGTATTATGTCAAGGTTTCCAATGAGGGCTTCCAGCACACTTGATCACAACTGCCAGTGAAAACGCATTCGGCACTATTCAAACTGCAATTGACAAGAATTACCTCCTTCAAACATGCCTTCTTTTATGATACTACAATGTTGTCCCAGCAAACTCATTCTGCACTTTTTCTCATTTTGTACAGTAGTCATACAACGAGACTAAATGTCATTCTCTGGTTCTGCGCAGGACCTTCTACGCACCATGCCAAGCAACGCGTGCTTCTCGCACGCCACCAGCACGGGCATTCCGCGTCTGCGGCGGGTGTTGCGGGGACTCGCCTGGCTTTACCCGGACATCGGATACTGCCAGGGCACGAGCATGGTAGATGTCACAAAAGTTACATCCATATTAACTCTCCTTGTCGTCAAGCCAGAGGCATCTGCGGTAATATCAAAAGCAAATTGTCCACGCCTAAAAAATCACGCACAGCTGCTGTGTATAGAAAGAATAAGTTTTATAAGTACGGCATGTTCCATCGCCAAAAGCAAGCCTAGCTGGTAATGAAGTGTGCACATTTCAAACATATCTATACTTCACCAATAACTCAGCAAGCATCATTAACTTCAAAATTTCACTTCAGAGTTTCATTTCAAGTCAACATCGCTCAGTGTTTGTTTTGCACCTTTAATTGTTCTGTATGTTTTTGCTATGCTTCTGTTTTACAAGTGGTTACTTTTTGTGCATGACATTTTTTTTATTTTATCTCTCTTGGCAGTGTATGGAGAGATCTCCTTTTGTAACACTTCCCGGGGCAATTAAGTGTTTTGATTGCTGTGTTATTCAGTTTGCATACTTTCTCCTTTGTTCTTATAACTGAAATTTGTTAAAGGTGTCATCAGGATATTTTATTTACATATTTTGTATCTATAACCAAATAGCTATGATGTGTTAACTTTTGCTGCTCCTCCCCTCTTCAATGTAAATTGTACCCTGAGAGTATTAAAGAAAAAAAGACAGAAAAGTTCGGGTGGATCCTTTCGGGTGCCTTCTCCTGGTCTTTGCATTTTGCTGTTTCTCTCATTGTTGCCTACATTACTGCAGATAGCGGCGAGCCTGCTGCTGTTCCTGGAAGAAGAAGACGCTTTCTGGATGCTGTGCACCATCGTAGAGGACATCCTGCCGGCCTCCTACTACTCCAGCACTCTGGCCGGGGTGCAGGCTGACCAGCGCGTGCTCAGGGCCCTGGTGACCGCCTGCCTGCCAGACCTGGATGCTCTGCTCAAGGAGCACGACATTGGTGGGTGGTACCTCATCGTACCCTGTGTACTGATTTCATGCTTGTGCTTCTCTTATTTTTCTGTGTCTTTTCTGTTATCATTCCTGCCATTCACAAAGCTGGCAGACAGCTCTTGTCACATACACACACAACAAAAAATGATGTGGAGAGCCCCACGCTCTTGGAGTGAACAGACACAGTAGACACGGTCGGACTGAACCAATCAATTTAGAACGACGATATTGTCAGCCGAATTATTATACCATCAATTGTGATCCACACAAACTTACACAATATTACACAACACTCGAAAACATAACAAACACAAGAACACACACAAGGCTGCTTTGACAACGCTTGACTTACCACGAGGGCCCACCGCAAACGGCTCGTGGTGCCGCCTATGGCAGACCCACTGCTAGAGAGAACCATACGCGCCAACCGCCACCAGCTGAAAAGAGCCGCTCACTTCTCCCGTGCCGCCACCAAGGCTTTCCACCAGGCGTCACTGCTGGTGCCACCGTTCTAATCATGATGATGATAGTGGTGAAAAACGCTCGCGAGCACAACGCTGCCTACTGCTCGATAGTTGTGAACCAAAAATGTGGCTTCTGCGCGAGACACGTGCGCCACGCGGCGCAAAGAACTTTACAGAAGGTGTTAGCACCTTCACAAACTTTTGAGCTTCGCCTTCAACTCGAAAACGGAGGAGCGCATCCTGCGGCGCCTACAGACACATACGCTGCTCTGTCCAGCCATACTAAAATATTACGACCCAAAAACAAGTGGGCAGTGCCGGTACTGTGGGGAAGTGGCCAACGCTTACCATATGGTCTGGGCCTGCCAAATGAACCCAAAATTAACCCCCTTTCCCAACCCCACCAAAGAGGAGTGGGAGACGACCCTACTCAATAGCTCCACACTGGAGGAACGGCGAACTCTAGTCCAGCGGGCTCGGGTGGCGGCCTCGACTAATGACGTCCCGGACTAGGGATGTCAACCAGCCCGGTGGGGATAAGGGCTATCTGGCACAGCCAGCATCAATAAAGGTTTTTTCCTCCTCCTCCTCCTCGCCTTCAAGACTAGAGACTGATAGCGTAATCAAGCTCCATTCACATCGCTTTCCAAATCACTAGCTTGGCTTCGCATCTCAGTGGACACCTCAATCGTGCTGCAAAAAAAAGGAGTGTCTCTGGGCATAAAATAGGCCCTTTCAAACTATTCTAAAATGCCTACTGAAAGCACTATTGCGAATTGCACACTGTGCCATAATTCTTCTTTTAGCAAATTTGGCAAAACACCCACAATGCATTCATAAGGCAGCACACATAACTGCGCATCTGCCAATTTTGTTGATGCTGTTGATAACGATGGTTATTAATTATGCTTGAGCACTTTGTCATGGGTAGCCTCCCACACCTTGCATAATATGTTTTGATGCCTGGTGAAATTCTATGCTTCTGCCACGCAATATTATATACGCTGATGGCACTCTTCGGTCTACTTAACATTCATATACGCTTCAAACCTCATGGAAGCAAAGTTGCATCTTACACAGAAATAAGTTTATTATATCCGGTAATTCGTTATATAGGTATATTCCTAACACTATATCTATTGCAAGACTTTTTTTATTCACTTTGTTATAACCAATATTTCGTTATATCTAGGTTCAATATATTGAGGTTTGAGTCTATTGGTTTTTTTCGAAGCGATTTTGAGCACGGTTGTGGCTCTGTGGTACAACGTCTGCTTGCCGTGCAGAAGGCCTGGGTTTCATTTCCACTCGGACCGAACATTTTTTATTCTTTGTTTACTTGTGTCTATTTCGATTTTACGCTCATGAACAACGTTGATTTTGTGCTCACAACAAACAATGCGACACCCAAATTTCTGTGAAGCGAGTTCTCTAATGCTGTCACATTAAAAAAAATGAAGCTACTATATGGTGTGAGTTTCGTCAAGTCCTGGCTGCATTCTGCCGTGAATGTGTAGTACTCAAAAATTGAAACACAAAAAATTATGGCGAAGTATTGCACGTACTTTTGCTTTGAGCTTCTACAGTTAATGTCATATTGGCGTAATTTTTACTCAAACCACCCTTGTTAGCGCCAACATTGCCTTTAACAGCTGATTTGCGGCGACATCATGCAGTTATCATAGCAGTTGTTCATAGCACCTATACTAAACAAAAAACAGTGCTGTGTTTAAGCACGTGATTACTGCACAGCTGCTGATGCTATAGAGCTGCAGAAGGTTAGAACACGAGGTTTTGCATCTCACTCTTGAGTGTTTAAACAGTGTGATCTCTGTCAACCACTGCTTTCGCTTTGTTCCGCATCGTAGCCTGCTGTGATACAGCAGAGAGCGTCATGCAATGTGGCGCACAGCTTCAGCATAACAATGCAGTTGCTGCCACTTGTCCTGACACATCCCCACAACAAAGCCACTGAACCCCGTGGTGCTGACAGTACGTAATGCTCTGCTAAGGACCCACTGCATCCCTACAAAATGCTAAAGGCAGAGTTGTGACTAAGTAATGCTGCCTGTGCAAGCATATAGCATCAAGTTTGGCTAACGAGAAGCCCAAACCTTCGTACAAAGCACAAAAGCCTACTCTCGATTGGGTAAATGTTGTTCACATTAAACCATACTGCATACGCAACTGTGAATGTGAAAGAGACTGGCTGTTGGCCATGCTTTCTTCGTGACTGTCATTGCTCCAGTTGAAATTTCGTTTTAGCTAGCCTTACATTAAGAAGTTCTGATAATAAGCCATAGTCAAAGTAGTGATGGGTTGCATTCTTCCAATTAATTCAGGGCTCTGGCAACCTTCTTTAGTTATGCATAACGTGCTGTCACGCATATTGTTTCCCTTGCGAGATTTGAAAATGTTAGACTACAGATTTGGGTAGTTTTCTGAGTGCTTCTTGATGGATGTTGGGAACGTACGCAGAGCTGTCGCTCATCACGTTGCACTGGTTCCTGACACTGTTTGCCAGCGTGGTGTCCATGCAAGTGCTGCTACGCATCTGGGACCTGTTCTTCTACGACGGCTCCATCGTCCTCTTCCAGGTCCTCCTAGGAATGCTCAGTTCAAAGGTCAGTGCTGTGCTCACAAGCGCCTGATGTGGTAGTGGTGCAGTCAAATATACAAAGTTCTGTCTGAGATTGGAGCAGCCTCATTATTATTTAAGTGCTCTTTACTAAAGAAACGTCTGTTGCACCGGTGTCGTTGGAAAAAACATTTTCCCTCTACTTCGTTATATCCGATAATGCATTATATTTGTGATCATTGTACGAAGGTACCACTGTGCTAATTTGAAAACTGTGTGTGAGTGTAATTTATTAAGTGCAGCGCTGCTGCAACAGCATGCTATCTCTGAACACCTTATTAAAACCAAATGCTTATTAGGCACATTGAGTGTTTACTAGGTTATATCATCATAAGCGAATAGAAAATATGAAAGCATACAGTTGGGGGGAAGGACAAACCATTAGCATAAAGGTACATCATCCAGAGGTTGGCGTGATATACTCAACTATTGCACGACAAATCATTAAAAATGGAATGTTAGTCGAGTCGTTTCAGTAAGCAGACTTGTCTTCATCAATGCAGCCACTGCATTCCATAGCAGTGTGTTTATTTAAACTTCGCTCACACTCATCCAACCTCAAAAGTGGAGGAGGGGAAGGGCAAGCTCGTATACAGAAGAAAAAAAAAAAAGGTGGGAATATTTTGACCAAGTAAAGGTTGAAGTAGTATGACAAAAGACAAACAAAGGGGCAACGTTCTTTCCCATGAAACAGCACTGTTCTGGCAGATTTTCTCGAACGTGGCACTGTGTCTGAAATATCTTACAAGGCACGGCAAGTTGGCCAAGTTCACTGGTCTTATTCATGGGCCACAGCGATGGATTCGCTTTGATACGCTTTGCGGCAGAACAATGTAGAAATGGGGTGAAGCATATTAATTGTAAAATGAATTAACCACCCTACAGCGCAACCTACCACTTGGGTTGTACACACCTTGTATATGTTAAATTACCAGTTTGCCAAACCATCTTTTGATTCCTTTTCAATAGAATATATCAGGCTGAACTATTTCTTGCAGAAAGAATAACTCCTACAAGGTAGACCCGGCCAACCTGAGAAAATTAAGAAAAAGGCATATTGATGTCAGTGCAAGGGTATAAATTGGTCAGGCTGTTTCTCTTTTAATCTTTGTTATTTATTATCTGTGCTAAATTTTCTATATGAATCATCACATTGAATGTGTTAGGTACCGCTATATTATTTTCTATATTATATTATTTCACAAAGTAGGCACAGCTAACATGAAAAGGTTAATAAATGGCGACATTGCCACGATGGCTAGCGTATCAATTCGGGCAGCACTCATGTCAATGTGCTTCTTTTTTCTTGTTCGTCATAATCTGAATTTTTAATGTGAATCGGTGCCAACTAGCTTGTTACACGCAGTACACATTTCTATAACTCCATTACACCGAGTACAAACTCCTTTGTGCAGGAGTCCGAGCTACGGTCGCTGGAGAATTCGGCGCAGATCTTCAACGCACTCTCGGACTTGCCCGGCTCCGTGCGTGACGCGGAGCAGCTGCTCGAGGCCAGCAAACAGGCGTCCCGCGATGTGACGGAGGCTGCCATCGAGGCCCTGCGACGCAAGCACCTGGCCTACCTGATGGCCGACCAGGGGGCGCTTCTCAACCCAGAGCATGCCCGGAACCTGCCCAAACAAGTGAGTGCGCCAAATCACGTGGCCTCTGCGATTATTTGAACACTCTGATTCGAATTTAATTTATCAGAAATTGTGAAGTATTCAGAAAGAACGAATAGGTCATCTGCATGTAAATCCCCTTGTAAAGGTGGTTTCACTGCTGTGGTGGTCTAGCGACTAACGTACTCAACTGCTGACTCGCAGGTCACGGGATCAAACCCCGGCTGTGGCGGCTGCATTTCCGACGGAAGCGAAAATGCTGTAGGCCCGTGTGCTCAGATTTGGGTGCACGTAAAGAACCCCATGTGTTCAGAATTTCCAGAGCGCTACTCTAAGGCGTCTTTCATAATCATACGGTAACGACGTGGCGAACTCAGTCTTTTGTGGCTATGCCACTAATCAGACAAAAATTGTTCACCTTGCTGAGGAATTTCTCCGGCGTCTGTACATCCCTAAACCAAGCGAACCTCAGCAGCGTGCTCGCAATGGGCGATGTCACCGTCATTAGGGCAGCCGGCGCCGGCGGTTGAAGAAAGGGCTGTTGGCGTTCGTCGCACATGGGTATCACGGGAGCAGTCATTAGCACTTGCCGCAGCTCGGCTGCAAGGCGTTCGTGTTCCATTGCAGATCGATTAGTCTGTCTCAGCATAAACTGCACGAATTCGTCACGTATTTCAGTCAGCTCAATCCCGGACGAGCCCCCAGTTGTCATGTTTGTTAAGCCTCACTCCCCAGTCCCCGCGACTCCTACGTCCTAGCACAACACCGTCCGCTCACACACTCCCCACACAGGACCGATGTCCGCTGTTGCCACCTCATCTAGGGGGCGCCGCATACCCTCCTATCAATACTGATGGATGTCCTGACAAGCCGCAAACCATTTGGCCATGGCGATCTTGGCGATCAGCATCGCGCCATCCACCAGAATGTTCTTCGCACGCACTTGTAAAAACCAAGCATAGAGTGACTTTTCTACATTCCCGTGGGCAGTAGCGCGCAAAGGATAAGCTCCCGAAGTTCGCTGCTCCGCCGTCTTTGCCTTGATATCTGCCTTGTTTTTCAACAAGGTACTCAGAGTGCTTTGTGGTAAGCCGAAGTCGTCTGCGACGGTCGAACGTTTCTCGCCTTCCTCAACACGCTGAATAGCCTTCAACTTCGTCGCAAAGTCAAGGGCCTTGCGCTTCTTGACACTGGCTATAGCTACAGGAGAAGTCGACAATTCAAGAAGTCCGCAGCAGCTTTGCACACCACGCATGCAAAAGAGAAATGCTGCACATGCGGTGGTACGTAAGCGACGCGACAGCTCGAGAGCAACAAAGCGCTCCCGAGGCAATGGCTACCTGCGAGGGCAACAGCAAAAAGTGCGTGCTGTGGTTGGCTGATGAAACCTCGCAAAACAGCTACAAGAAATAAAAGAAAAAGCGAAAGGAGGAGGACGTCGGCTCCTTCGTTCCTGCTCTCCTAGCCGATGCGTACGCGAAGAAAGCGTGAAAAAGAGAAACGAAAAAAGAAAAGCCGTTCTGCAAGTTGGAGATTGCGCAGTATGAGCCCTCTTGCCCTTACCTTTTTTCAAGTGTTTCAGGTTTTGGCGCAGGCGCAGTGCCGCATGGAGGTCGCTGGGCACTGCTGGTAGTGCCATAAACGCGCCTTTTAAGTTGCACGCGGAGCCGCACTACCACGGAGTTTGCGAGAGGGGGGAGGGGGCATTTTCCAGCTCGCGCGGTGTTCGATATATCCGAAGGGGGGTAACAATAAATAGCATTCGTAATAAACGTGGCAATTTCTATACTTTTATAAAGGAATTTCAGCCGATCACTTCAGAGTTTGATATACCCAAAAATTCTATATATATGGGTTCGATATAACCATGTTCGACTGTATTATGTTATATATACTGTTCAAATCTGCTTCGAATTTATTCTGACTAAATCACTATTCGTCTCGAATTCGCTTCGAACTTAAAGTTCACTATTCGGCCAAGCATACAAATCACACTATGACCAAGTTGCACCTGACACGAGAGTAACTTCGCTATATCTGAAAACATTGTAATATAAGTGTGTACTGCAAGAATTGTATCTATGTCAAGAACATTTCTTATTTATTTTGTTGCAATAGACAATTTGTTATATCTCAAATGAAATATTTATTTCTACCATGTGCAAATTCATGTATAGAAGACAACAGGAAAAATAACTGCCTATGGGTGGCTTGACTAGTCCACAGTCATTTCATAATGTTAGGTGTGTGGGCAACTGAAATAAACAAAACAGTTAAAAACGTGATTAGGTATTGCGTGATAAAAGCAAAACACAGAACTCTAAAATAAATAAAAAAAGCATTAAAACAAGATTAGTGAAATCAGTTCACGCGTGACTGCACAGTACCCACGCATCGAAATGTAAAAGGTTAGGGCTAAGTTGTGGGCACACTTCCATTTACACCTTGTATTGGCTTAATATTTACTCATGCACTTACATCGGAGACGATGTTGCCTTTAGTGGCCAGATTCGTACTGACATGATGCTCAACTCTAAATTCTCTGTGTTTATCATTGCACCTCTATTAGTATACTTCTGTCAAAGTGACCGTTTTCAAACCTCACTTGAAAATAATGCGGGTAAGGCACATTATCACATTATAAAGAAAATATTACACAATAACAAAGCTATTTTGTAGTCTGATATGTATTCACTGTATTGAGGTTGCGCTATAGCTCAACAGCGTGTTGCTTCTGTTGCGCTTAGTATCCAGCATAACTTTCTGTAAACAGTATCATTATGTAACCAGTGTTGTAAGTTGGGAGAGTTGGTACAGGACCACCTCCTAACAAACTGCACAGCAGAACAGGACACAAATAAAAAAAGATACGAACAAGCTCAGATTCACTATTTATTTATTTAAAGTAGATAGTAACTTTCAACAGTGCCCAATGGGGATGACATACCACTGTCAGAAAATAACAATGCAGCAAAAACAGTTGAGGATTTCAATCAAGGCTAAATAGTCACTGCAACACGTGGAGTGCAGATACACAAACTCCTTGTCAGACAGACTGATAAAGAGGTAGTTAGACCATACATCTCCCTTTTTGCTGATATTAAAAGCCTCTATTAGACAGTTTTAGAATAGGGTGCGGAGAAGATAGTAGATGATGCATGCGCTGCAGTGACAAACGCTAGCGCAAGGTTTTCTCTTCTGTCTTGTAGCACATTTTCTTAGAAGGTATCGTTACATTTCGTTTTCATCACTTTTACGAAATGAGTCAACATTCACCATCCCTGGATACATTTTGCAGCACCTGACCCGCCGTCAAGTGAAGCGCTCCAAGTCTGTTCTCCAGCTGCTGCTCCAGGGAGAGGCGGGGGACTGCACCAATCCGTCGGAGGAGGACGTGCGGCACAAGAACGTGCGGCAGACGGAGATCCTCGTGGACTTGCGCGAGGCCATCTTGCAGGTGGCCCGACACTTCCAGGCACTCGATCCCAAGCTGCAGGTGGTCAGTGTTGCCCCCCACACACTGAGCCCGCTGTGCGTCATCGTATGTGGACACATGTCATTCACACATATCACTCGATATTTAGTTAAGCTTTAGCACACTAATCCAGCACATTTTAGTTGCACTCTATAACCAGAAACACTTCCGTTAGCCACAGTCAGGAATAATGTTGAAACTGGATATTCAGGGGGTTCATTTCTCCAGCTGCTGAGATCTTTTCAATGAGTTATTTTCATGCAGTTCTCCTGAGCAAAAGGCACGAAAGACCAACATAAGGAACAAGACAAGTGTATTGCAATGTTAGTCTTCTGTGCCCTCTGCTCAGCAGAACTACATCAGAATACCATACCAATCAGCCCAAGCTTTAGCTTTATTGGTTTAGTTTAGTATAAATTATCGTGATTATTGTTTTTATACAAGTCTCCAGATTGGTGGCCTCTGGACACAGCATAGTTTGCATAATGTCGCGTGTAAGGGTGATGCTTTGTTGATACTTTAAATTATTGATATCAGGCGTTCAAGTGCATGAGTTGCTTGGAGCCTACCCTCAGAGCGGTGTAGGTTAGCATAGAAAGTTTCAATAAACATATTCTTGTTAACAGCCCGATGAGAGAATATTTCACATTGGGAAGTACTATGAAAGTACCAACTGACAACTGGGAAGGCTGCAGTACTTCTAGTGAAATGCGCTACCAGAAGGCCATATCTCTCCTATTGAAATATCTAACTGTTCTGTTATAAATGAAAAGATAAAAATTTATAAATATAAAGAATGTAAATAAATTCTGAGAAAAAGACTGCCAAAAATAAAAACTGAACATTCCTCTGTGAATTGAACCCACAACGTATAACGCAGATGCTCAACACCACAAACATTACGCCATGGTCTGTATGGGTTAACACAACACCGTGAAAAAATTTCCCTCTTGCGAGGTAATGCGTTCAGGCTCTGAACACATTTTGAGTTTACAAGCAGACTTGTATTATAAGCTTCACCAGCTTGTCGTTGCTTCTGCTTCTTGTGCCGCTTCACTGGTTGACAGCATGGTAAACAGACCGTTTGCTGTAAAATGCAGCATTATGCTTAATCTCTTCTAGCGATGTACATTGACTGTGAAGAGCTTTTTACTGCGGAGCACTCTGGGAGCCCGGGCTGTCGTATACTGTTGTCGTTGCTTGACGTAACGCAGGCAAAACTGCGTGTATCGTAGACAACTTTTGCATATTGAGCGTGCACTCACGCCAAGAAGTGCTCATCTTGTTCTCTGAGCACTTTGATAATAATATTAAGTGTGGAGCACCACCTTGGGTGCCCGGTTTGTCACATGCTGTTTTTGCTTGGTGTAACGCAGTCAAAATGGCATATCAACATTGAAAGAAGAGAGGAAGGAAGTGAAAAATAGAAAGACAGAGAAGGAAGAAAAAGATAGGAAGAAAATAAACATAAATAAAAAAGGGACAGAAAAAACTGGAAAAAAGTAAAGAGGAAAGAAAAAAAAACAAGATAGAAGCAAGGAAGGCTGCCCAGCTATGCGCTTACTTGAGGCTTGGCAACACGAGTGCGAAGCTTCATTAATTTTTTTATTCCTCTGTTTGCACTGATCAGCACCTGTTTTGTGCTAGCATGCCTTTGCAGAGTTAATGGGAACTTTAAGTCGGGGCAAGCTGCAGCTACGGTTGTGTGGCGCAGACGCTGAACTCCGACTACTCCATGGAGAGCCACGCGCGCGACCACGAGAACTTCGCCAACGTGTCCCGGTCGCGCCACCGGCGCGCCAAGGCCCTGCTCAACTTTGAGCGGCATGACGACGACGAGCTGGGTTTCCGCAAGAACGACATCATCACGGTTGGTGCACGCTCTGTGACCCCTGTGTCATCTTCAGTTCTGTTCACTGAGGGGCCGGTTGGTTAGATGGAATTTTTTTAAAGCTTCTTGGCGTGCTTATTATCGCTGTAAACTACATATGATTCCACTGCAGTCTATTTTGATACCAAGTCATACTAAGAGCGAAGACCTTTACGCAAGAGTAGGCAACTCACGAATGAGCACTACTTTTCGACTGATTTCGGTCTCGGAATAGCTCGTTCACAACCAACACTCAACAAATTTCTAACTTGAGCATGCGCAGCTTGCCCACGTGCATCTCCATCAATGCCACCGTTTATAAAGCATGTCCACCCAAGAATGCTAAGTTCTTCGTGGCTAGCTGTGTTCTTATAATAATGAGTCACCCGATTTTTTGGGCCAGCTAAGCAAAACCTCATTATCTGACTGTATTTCTGTGTGCAACACTTTGATGACTCCATATTTCTTGATGCTTGTTGATACGCCAGTTGTGCATCTATTCTATTCAACATGTCATCTGCCAAGCTTTACACCTTTCTTATTATCTTAATTAACAACAGAGCACTTAAAATTTACTATATGCTATTTTTAATCTATACTGCCGTGTTATTGTAATGTGATACTGATCGTTTCCTATTCTACCACACTATTCACGGTCTGCAGCTTCTGAAAGTTTCATTGTTGTCTCAGTTGTCTCTGTCGTGTGAGATATAGCAGAGGCGCTGCATAGTTTGGCCAAATAATATTATGATCAAGAAAGTACAGAGAAAAGTGATAGTCCGGCGATAAGTAGGAATATGTTCCTGGGAATGGGCTTCCTGGAATATGAGTCAAATCATTTTAGATCATACAGCTGTGCTTCACAGTGGTGGTGATGATTCCGCAAATATTCAGAGCAATTCGACATCTAAAAGTGCGCATAAATTGTTCTAACACACTTGGGTTGAAATGTGTCCCGTTGTAGATCATCAGTCAAAAGGACGAGCACTGCTGGATCGGAGAGCTGAACGGCCTGCGAGGGTGGTTCCCAGCAAAGTTTGTGGAACTGCTAGACGAACGCAGCAAACAGGTACCACATCTTGCTCAGAACTGGCACTAAAGTCATTCTTGAAATGTACTCAAAGACAGCAACTGCAATGAAGGAGGACCTTGTTACAATTTGTACAGCTTTGGATAAATGAACTGCAAGCTCTGTATGAATTGCCACAAAGCAATACACTCATACCTCAATATAACAAACATGGATATAACTAAGTATCAGCTATAACGAAGTAAATTAAAAATAGTCTTTCAATAAATATATTGTTAGGAATATACCTTTATAATGAATTTTTGGATATAACGAACTCATCTTTATAATGAGGTATGAGTACACTCGTACCTCATTATAACAAAGTTGCATCTTACAAGAAAATAAGTGCATTATACCAGAAAATTAGTTATAAAAGTTGTAAGGACCATGTGGCGGAGGGGCCAACCGGAAGGCCGAGAGATAACACCACAGTTGGTGCCAGTGCTGCCGTCATCATCATCATCATGAGGATGGACAGGGGCAGGGAAGTAGAGGTTAGTGTGTGTGTTCGACCAGACATTGTGCGTGCTTCCTCCCTGGTAAGGATATTCCTAACACTGTATCTGTCGCAAGAATGTTTTTCATTTACTTTGTTATAACAGATATTTTGTGATATTCGTATTTGTTATATTGAGGTTTGAGTGTATAACTTGAAATGGGGTATGATAGTAGTCCACTGTCTACGGTGAAAGTCATGCAAATCTATGAGTTTGTTTTTGTGCTCACGGTTTGTTTTTTCTTTACGATTCAGTACTCCAGTGCAGGGGATGACTCGGTGACAGAAGCCATCACAGACCTAGTACGAGGGACGTAAGTGCTGCCAATTAGTAATGCTCTTATTCAGCCCTGTTGCCTTTTCAGGCTTCTCGCTGTGCCAGTTGTGTTAAGGGGAAACGTGGCAATGGGTATTGTAAATTTGGTTAAAATGTTCTGTTTTTTTTCATAAAATTTTTTCTGTAATTCTGAGACCATGTTTTACATCATGGTGTGATTTTAGATCAAAGTAAGTAGTAGAAGTTGAGAAACAAGCGTTTTACTGGTGGGCTGTCGTCAAAAGCCATGTGAAAATTGGGCATAGCAAAATGCAAATTTGCAGCTTTCTCTTGGCAAAGTGCCACCATATTGGCATCATCATAAAAAGGACAGATTGGACTTTGAGATAGCCACAGAAAGATGCATTTCTCCAGTGGAAAATAAAGCCAGCTTTCTTCTGAGTTCCGTTTTATCAGCTTCTAGATTTCTGTGAGCTTCATTTTCTCGGGTTTCATTTTTTGAGCAGTTGCTGTCAGTCATTCCTGTGCCATTTCACAACAAATTAAGCTATAGCCATTCCGTTTCCTGCACTTGGATTCTTTAGACATTGGTGAGCGCGGTAAAGCAGTCCATATTTGTGTGCTCATCATACAGACTTTTGTTATTGGCTTTTTGTAAAAGCTTTTGGTGAGGCAATATGTCCAGGTCATTTAAGAAAAAATTCTGTGTTTAGTTAAATATAAAAAATAAATCAATAGTGTTACGGCACAAAATGGACCCTTGTAAATATTCTTATGCAAAAATTTGGACAAACTTGTCTCTAATTAGCTAATTAAATTCCAGGTGACAATGAGACTATATCAAGCGTTGTAACTTAAAAGTTATATTAGATAACTTGGAACCGATTCCAGTTATGATATCAGCACAACAAATTACATCTGCATGCCAAATTTCATCCCTTTAGCTTCATTATTAACTAAGATAATTTGCATTACCATGCCCCCCATTAACTGAGAGCTGAAGCTCCCATTGAAATAAAAGCAGGCACTATTTATTTAATTGATGTTTACCAAACGTATCATCAGTTTCCAATGTTTTGTGCTGTACGTCACAGCCTACTCGGTTTGACAAGTTTTTAATCAGCAGCACATCGAGGGTGCACGTAAAATGGCACTCTTGCAGACTGACGCTCCCCTGTTTAAAAGCTCATACCATACAAAGTGGACAAAAGGATAACCGCCGCCATAGCTCAGTTGGTAGAGCATCGAACGCATTATTCGAAGGTCGTGCACTTTTCTTTATTTATCTTTACATTACAATTAGTACTTTGAATAACATCCCCTATAGCTTTCCTGGCATCATTGTGTATTAGTTCTCATTAATATCATGCTTAACAAAGAAAACGTGCCCTTATATTTACACTTCTTTCCGTCACTCCTGCATAGGTTGCATGGTCTTTGTGATATTTAGGTTGCTGTTATACTTTCAACGAACCTGCAGTAAATAGACAGTGTTTCTAATCACTTGTGACGTGCGCTCGTGACAGTGTTACTTGCTTTTTCATTTTGGTAATGTGATCGCTTTAAAATAGAACAATTGTGTAATCTACCGTAAAGTCATGAGGGCATTGGGGAAACTATTGTGCTGCTTTGGAAGAAAAGAAAACGGTTGTCAACTGGTGTTGCGATCACTGTTTTATTACAATATCGCTACAGTTATGATAGGACATTGTAAAATTGTATTACTGCATTCTATCTTTCCCCAATAATTTCTTTGTTCTCAAGATGATCGAATTTTCGGCATGCCGCGTTCGCATGGGCCCTACAGGTTGTGTCCGACACTGAAGGCAGTTCTGGAATATGGAATGAAGCGGTCCAGTCTTCTTGGCGGCACCTGCCATCCGTGGCTCTTCATTGAGGAGGTGAGTGTTGCGTATTGCACCATACAGCATAGGTTGCGTAATAAAACCCCCTGTGCCTAAGAGAGGCAGCGACACACAAGGAATGGGCGTTGATTTGGCGCCTTGAATGTTCAAGCGACTATTACGGTGTTCAAGTTCACTTCGAACATGAATGTCATATTTCTAGGCTCATGCGAATAGTAAATTTTAGGTTCGAAGCGAATAGTGGTTTTGGTCGAATAATATCGAATTGAATTTAAATAGTATGTGTTGTAAAAAAATGTAAAAAAAGAAGGCATATCTTTAATGACCTAACTAATCTGCACAATATATATTTTTAAAATTGATACAAGGCCTGTGCAAATGCCTTTTTTTTTGTTGTTCAAAGCAAGTGCAAACAACATTGAATAGCAGCAGGACTTGACTTTTGGTAGAATGCAAATGACAACCTGTAAGACATGTTTCGTTTTAATATTTACTCTACTTAGAGCATATAAGTCGACATAACAAGCTATTAAGCGTCAAAAATGATCTATCAATGTGAGGGTGGTATGTTCATTTAACCTTGAAGTGGGACTTCATAGCAGTGCAGATTTCCAATAAATAAGTGTTTTCACGGTTTGGCACTCTGTTACTGCAGTGAAGCCATCTTGCAGGAAGTTACATGTGAATTACCAATTTTAATCAAATGCTTTCACAGCTTAACACTTCTTTACTGCATTGAAGCCATCGTTACAAGAAGTTACATGTTAGTTAATACATATAATTAAATGCTTTCATGGCTTATCACTCATTTATTGCAGTGAAGCCATCTTTACAGGAGGTTGCACTGCTTATTAATACATTTAGGCTAATGCTGACCACAGCCTAGCACTCTTTTACTGCAGTAAAGCCATCTTTACAAGAACTTACATGCTGATTAATACATTTAAATAAGTGCTTTCACGGTTTAGGCACTCCTTTACTGCGGTGAAGCCATCTTTACAGAAACTTGCATGCTGATTATTGTTATTCAATGCTTTCACAACTTCGCACTTTCTCACTGCAGTGAAGCCATCCTTTATGGGAGGTTACATGCTAATTTTATATTCAATTAAGTGCTTTCATGGCTTAGCACTCTTTTACTGCAGTAGAACGACCTTTATGGTGGTTACACTGTGGATTAATATACACCTATTCGTTCATTTAAAATATTTTCGCATTCGAATCAAGGCAAATTTGAATACCTGTGATATATGTTTGAATATCCAAAGCACTCGAATATTCACGCAAGCCTAGAAATTTCTCAGTTTCGAAGCATTTGAAACAAATGAACAGACATGTTTTATCTCATGGAACCCTCTTAAAGGTGGTTGTACTGTGGTGGGGGCTGCTATGCCGTGAAATCACGTATCCAGAGGAAATTCACATTGTTCAAAAGCCTTTTCTCGTTGTTGTTAACATGCTTCTTAAGTTAGAAGCATGTTATATTCGCTGATATGTCTTGAATTGTAAAACATAGCGTATTTTTTGCATCAAACTGAAAAAGTGACATTCGCGTACGCAGTGTTTTAATTCTTAATAGTATTGCTCAAGTAAGCTGGGCCTCCACAAAAAGTCTGAATAGAATTAAGAGGGAAGAAAAATAATTCGAGTCATTTCGTGCCCAGGAGACTGTGGCTTTCATTTTACACGTCTAATTGTTTACAAAGATCAAGCATTGCAACCTCCTCAATGTAGCCATGATGTTAAAAACCCCCTCTTTCTGAAGGCATTCGACTGTACTGTCGCATTGTCCTCGTTCTGTCGTTGCCAAGGTTGCCAACAAGGAGGTGGAGAAGGACTTCAACTCCGTCTATTCTCGGCTCGTCCTCTGCAAGACCTACAGGTGCGGATATTGCTTTGCACCATATTACCTGGCAGCGCTGCCAAAACCGAGAGATGTAGGCAAACCTCGTGCTTGCGCACCAAAATGTAGTTTGATTCACATGTGAACGGCCTTGTAATTGGCAAGGGTTCGTACATTTGAGTTTGTTTGGCACGCGCCTCATCTGCTTATCTTGTATACACATTTCAAGTTCCGACAGACTCGCCAACAAGTTACTGAGAAGTAAGGTAACCTGTTATACAGTAAATTGGCAGTTAAGTGATCTGTCTTGGCCTAGAATGTTGCAACTCTACTGCACACAGTCGGGCTGTGCAGAAGAACACAGCCGAGTAGTGGTGTTGACGACATGTCGAACTTCGTGTGTTCAGGTTGGACGAAGATGGCAAAGTGCTCACGCCCGAGGAAGTGCTCTACAGGGTGAGTACTGTATGCGCATGATAAATTTTCTACAAATTAGCTGCCGAGTATTAGCCTCCTAACTGTTTTGATGAATCAAGAATATTTCGCTTTTTTTATTAGTTCTTTGATGTTATTCTCTATCTTTAAAGGAAATTCTGGTTGTTGAAAAAAATTGCAACGTCTACTAGTGACGTTAGCTCAGTGAAGCTTTCTTTTTGTTTATGTATACCAGGTGACTATTGTTGGTAGTGGTAACAGTAAGAAAAAGAGGGAAAATATAGCGTAAGAATTTTTTTTTTTTTTACAAAGGTTTCGTGACGAGTAGTGGGTCATTTCAATGTAGATGCTTTGTGTAACTGACCCGTAAATTTTTTTTTTTTTCAATTGTTTAAGTATGCCTAAATGCTTCATGCTTTAAATTACCTTGTTCGTATTTACAGCAACATCATTTAGTTGTATTTTCACCAAGATTGAATAATCAAGAAGTTGTACAGAAAACATCTTCTGAGCCCATGAGGCATACTCTGCAGCCAAACAATCAAAAAAAAAAATTAACTTGCGACACTTGTTTGATATTGATTCTTTTTTCCTTGTGGACCAAATAACCAAAGTAAAATGGCATGACTGCATGCTTGTGTTCATGTTGATATGGGGCGTGAAGCGTTAAAAGTTGTACCTCTGTGTCTCTTCTCAGTCAGTTCAGGCTGTGAACATGTCACATGACCAGGCCCATGCTCAGATGGATGTCAAGCTGCGCTCCCTGGTCTGCATTGGCTTGAAGTGAGTGGTCTCACCGTTCTTTTCTTTAGTGTTGTTGGTAAGTACCATTGAGTACCCCTTAAAAGTTGGCGACTCCCCGAGTAATCGTACAGCGGACTTTCAGTAAACAGAAAAATGGTAAACAGAACTCCTGGTAAATGGAACACATTTTCCCGGTCCCTTCAGGTTCCACTTAATAAGAGCCTACTGTACATGAATGCCAGTGAAATATAGTTACTAATGCAGTCAAACCTCGTTATAGCATCTACACCACATAAATTACCTCATTATATATGACGTTCATTGCAGCAGTAAGAATAAATATCAGTCAAGTTGGCAATCTGGCTTGCATGAAAATTCTGATTGTAAAAATGCATTATTCTATGCTTTGAACTCACTATAAAGAGGTAATCTTTAGCTGTCTCTTTGTAGCATACATTTCAGGTGGTGCAACCGGTTAGCTGCAGCATTTTTAACCAGATCGTGAGTGAAAAATTGTCATTGTCTTTCAATGCTTATTTTGCTTTTTATATGAGAATTATACGTTGGCATTGATTGGAACTGTGATTGTGTAGTGAAAAATGTCTCCTTTCTGATCGAGCAGTGAGCAGGTGCTGCACCTGTGGTTCGAGGTTCTCTGTTCGTGCTTGTCGGTGGTGCACAAGTGGTACCAGCCCTGGTCCTTCATCAACAGCCCCGGCTGGGTGCAGATCAAGTGCGAGCTCAGGTGCGTATCACATGCCACGTCGCAGAGCGGTCGAGCAGAGTGTTCACCCACGGCCAGAAGCACAATGAATTCGTGTCCAGTTTGACTTACCAGAGCATCTTCAGTTTGGCTTCACTGGTAATGTGACTAGTGTTAATTAGGCTTGCGAGAATAGAGAATTTCAGGTTCGAAGCGAATACTGATTTTGGTCGAATAAATTCAAATCGAATTGGAATAGTGTATAACGCATGTCATAACAAAAAAATGGGCGTATTTGTCATGACCTAGCTAACGCGCACAGTATGTGTGTGTGTGTGTGTGTGCGTATATATATATGTATATATATCTTAATTGAAACAAGGCCTGTGCAAATGCCTTTTTATTATTTTTTGTTCAAAACAAATGGGAACAACTTTGAATAGTAGCAGGATTTGACTTTTGGTAGAATGCAAGTGATAACCTGTAACACATGTTCAGTATTTACTGTACTTAGAGCACATAAGTCATTTAGCAAGCTTTTAAACATCAAAAATGATGAATCAGTGTGAGGGTGACATGTTCATTCAACCTTGAAGTGGGGCTTCGCAACAGTGCGGATTTACAATTAATTAGCATTTTCACAGTTTAGTACCCCTTCACTGCAGTAAAACCACATTTAAAGGGTCCCTCACGAGGCCCATGACGAATTCTAGTTAGACACTGGCAGTTGTGTGTTTGAAGGAGAGGGTTACGCCCCCAGAATTTTTTCAATCGGTTCATTATGAGCTGCGAAAATCGGTATTTCGTCGCGACGTGAAACCATGACAAGAGGAGGAGAGCTAGAAACCCTTGCAGCTCGCCCCACGTAGTCTTCGCTAGCCAAATCTCTTCCTTATCTTCTCTGGCATCCGAGGAAACGGTCACGTTTCCATGACGTTCTCGAGCAAGCCCGACCCCTGAGCACGCGAGTGGCGTCGTTTTGTTAACCAGCGTTATTTCGGGGTCTACTGCCGGTTTCTGCGGCATGGATACTTCGGGGCACACTCATTCGGAGTTAGACGCGCTAGAATAGATGATAATATTGAGTGCTCGAAAGTTGTGGTAACCCCGCTACTAGTGCAGCGGACGATCACGCGCGGGTTCACGCTTAGCGAGCCACTGGGCCACTACTCCGTTTACTCGCGTGTAGCGCACCGCTCCGCGCGCGCTCAACTAATAAGGCGTTTAGCGCGGCGCGGCAAATAGACAGTGTTCTAATGCAAAAGTACACAACACTTTATTGCCTCTGGCGGCATCCCGAACGACAGTACAACGTCCGCTCCCGGGACGCGGGTAGCAAAGGCACCCGCACGCGGACGTTCACAATAAGGGGAAAACCGCGAGCACATCGCAGCTGGCAATGGCGAGCTTTGACACGCCGGTCGGGAAAAGGTCCCTCGCGGCTATGCTGCGCACTCTCACGATGGCCAATGGGCCTGGTCGCGAGTGTTAGGGCAAACCTCGTACGCGTAGGCCTACGGCAACTGCGGCTCGTTGTGGTACGACCACTTCAAGCACTAGGCACCGCTCTGGGCTTAGCGTACGCTACCGAAGCTAGCACTCAAGTAAACACGCCTGCCGAGGTGCCCAAGGCCACCCCGGGCAGGTTACAGTCCGGCGATACCCAAAGGGGATGCGGACGAAGGAAAACACGTGCTTACCCGACGCCGTCCACGGAAAAGAGAGCGCTCCCTCGGCGCGCGCGTACCGCGTGCCGTGCCCGCACGTGGCCCCATCTATCGCCACATGGTGTTAACAGAGCAGGAAAGCAAAAAGGTGTGGCCGTGTGGCGGAATGCCCGCGAAATGGTCGCAGGCGCGCCTCAGATCCCCACATCCTCCTCTTCTTAATTCACCCTATATACCGGTCTGCAAAGGCAGCCGGTCGTCGCCCATGCATGCAAAGGCGTCATGCAATGGGCAACAGCTAGCCTCAGCCTCGCTCTGCAACTGCTGCTGAAGAAAAAAAATAAACACACAAGAATACACTTGACAAATACAATGGCTCCGCGGAAGAGGGGTAACGGGAGTTCATGATGCTCACACAAGAGCGCGTCCACGGCTCGGAGGGGCAGCGTCACGTAATGTCTGACTTGGGTGATTGCGTGGATGCGAGAGTTCAAAGGGAGGGTTCTGGTTGAGGCCTTCATGCGAGGAACGGGCTCACCTTCGTCTGGTCGATGTTGACGACAGCCCTGCGAGTCTGACGAACGCCGCCTCGGTGGAGGTTCGGATGGACCTCGCTGCGACAGCCGGCCCTTCTGCTGGAATAATGGTCGCTAAATCCATTGGCTGCGAGGCGTCCTGCGGCGTCGGTCGAGTCGTGCACAGCGTCTGCGACAGCTGGCCTCGTGCAGGAGCCTCGTGCAGGTCTCCGAACACCTCCAGAGTCCAAAGTGGTGTAGGGGTCGGTGACTTCCTAAGTTGTCGCCACACGCACACACACCTCCGATGGTCGGGTCTCTCCAAACGTGCACCGCAAGGGAAGTGCAGAGTGTCATTTGTCCCTCTCCCCACGCTAAAGCACCAATTCACAATCCCCTCCTCCAGCGAGAAGAAAAAAAAAGAAAACACTGAAAAACATCAAGTAAACAACAACACTCAAATGACAATCAGCAGCAGTAACTGGGCGGAACAGACTTCTTTGCAAGCACTGGCTGTAAAGAAGTTAGCTAACTGAGACTAGAAAGTAAAAATGAGGGCCTTCGGTTGCAGAAATAAGCCCGCCGTCCGGCGCGAAATCACTAAAGTGACCGCTTCCTCAGATTATACTGGTGCGTGGTTTGAATGCGGTCCGCCGTGCCGGGTGTGCGCCGTTGCTTGCGCGAAGAGCCACTGGGCGCTGGCGCAGGCTCGTCAGACCTCGACGCAAAGGCTTTCAGGTCTGCGATATGGGCACGGCTGAGTTTTCCCGAAAGCGGGTCTTTCAGCAAGTACGCGAGTGGAGTCCAAGCTTTTTCCACTCTGTACGGACCAAGCCACTTTGGAGCGAGCGAAGTTAAGAAACCCTTGCTCGAGTCGCTAAGAGCGTGGTTGCGCTTCACGACGAGGTCACCCACCTTAAATGAAAGGTGGCGACGTTTTCGGTCGTACTGGGCCTTTTGCTCGTCCCTGGCCGATGCCAAACTTTGCCTCGCTCTACTAAGAGCTCGACAAAGCCTGTCCCGAAGTGTGGAAGCGTAAGCAAAACAGTCTGCCGATTCTTCCTCGTCTCCGAGCTGGCATTGCATGACACTGGTCACCGGATTTGCCAACTCCCTTCCGAAATTAAGGAAGGCGCGAGAGAAACCAGCAGAGCGACTCTCGGAGGTTCGAATTGCAAACGCGAGTTCACTCAAATGGTCTGCCCAGTCCCTTTGACTTTCGGCAAAGGCCGCCAACATCGGTTTGAGCGTACGATTGGTTCGCTCCGTCAAATTAGACTGGGGATGGTAGGGTGAAGTGGTGCAGTAATCTATTCCTAGGGAACGGCACGTATCACCAAACACCCGAGCGGTGAAATACGACGCATTGTCCGTGATCAATCTTTTCGGAAAGCCGAACCGACAAAACACTTCCTGTAGCCTCTCTAGCACCGCTCGCGCTGTCACTTTCCGCAGCGGAAACAGCTCCACCCATTTGGAAAAATGATCAACAACTACCATCAGATGTATGAACCCCTGTTTACTCCTGGGGAACGGCCCCATTAGATCGCAGGTGGCTACTTGCCACGGACGCTCACTGACAATCGGTTTCATCAAGCCGGGCGGCTTGCCACCCCTTGGTTTCACCGTTTGACAGACGTGGCAGGAACGGCAATAGCGAAAAATGTCACGCTTCATGCCAAGCCAAGTCACAACCTTGCTCAGTTTCGCAAAAACTTTAGAACCGGCAATGGGCTCGTCGTGAGAGGCTCGCAACAGTGCGCCTCTTAGACTTTTGGCACAACCACCTTAAACGGGTCCACTGACTCCTCATCGGTGGTTATGTACTTCAGCAGGAGTCCATCATGGTCCAGCAAGTATGTATCCGCGGGGGACCCAGCGACACACGCCGGTTCCCGTCCCCCTGCGCCCTGCCGCACTACCAGCAGCGTCTCGGCGCTCCGTCTCCCTGAGACCGTCGCTCAACTCGCGACAAAACTGATCATCTTGCTGGGCCTTCAGTAACTCTTGTCTGCTGAAAGCGATTCCCATTCTCCCAAAGGGGAGCTTGGTATCGTTCCCACTCAGGACTGCAGCCATCGCCTCCGCTCGCATTGGCGTTATGGGTTCGCTTCCCTTTCGCTCCCCCTCTCCCCCGCTTCGCGGCGCGCTACTTGCCTGGCCCGTGGAAAGGGTTTGCTCGTCGCCGCACTCATCCTTTTCTCAACTCAGCGGCTCCGCCGCCGTTTCGCTTGCGCCGCTTGCTTGCGCAAAGGCACCGCTAGCGGTTGTCGCACCGGGATCCAGGCTCCTGGTCGACACTGGGGCACGAGATAGCGCGTCAGCTACCACGTTAGTGCTCCCCTTCCGATACTTTACTGAAAAGTCATAATGCTGTATTAGGAGAGCCCAGCGCGCTAGCCTGCCTGCAGGCTCACGGAGCCGCATCAGCCAGCTAAGCGCGCTGTGATCTGTTTGCACCACAAATTTTGTCCCATCAAGGTAGACATCAAACTTCCGCAATGCAAACACGATGGCGAGACACTCCCTCTCAGTCACGGAATAATTCCTTTCCGCGGGTATCAACGAGCGGCTGGCAAAGGCCTGCGGCTGCAACACACCATCGTATTCCTGTAGGAGAACTGCTCCTAATCCCAGATCGCTTGCGTCAGTCTGGACAACAAACTGTCTGGTCAGGTCGGGGAGCTTGAGCTGCGCTGTCTCCGCAATGGCGCTAGACAGACGGCAAAATGCCTCTTGCTGCTCAGGTCCCCATCGCCACTCAGATGACTTACCCAAGAGCTCGGTCAAGGGCGCCTGCACTCGGGCACAGGACGGAATGAACGACCGGTAAAAATTGGCCATTCCGAGAAAGCGGCGCAGGCCGCGTACGTCCTTGGGCGCCGGGAAATCGAGGATTGCTCGAAGTTTCTCCCGATCTGGCTCAATGGAGCCTTCGCCCAGCGTGAAGCCAAGTAACTGAACTCGGGTTTGCGCTAGTTGGGCCTTTGCGGGATTTAACGTCATCCCGGCGGCTCTCACCCTCTCGAGCACATCGGCAATGTGGGCCAAGTGCTCTTCGAAGGTTCGTGAATAAATCACGATGTCGTCGAGGTAGCACATGCAGTAAGACCACTTTGCTTCCCCGAGGACGCGGTCCATGAGTCTCTGAAAAGTCGCAGGAGCATTGCAAAGACCAAAGGGCATATGAGTGAACTCAAATAACCCTCTGTGGGACGTGAATGCGGTCTTGCACCAGACACGCTCATCCATCCGGACCTGTAGGTAACCTTTGGAGGCATCTAATGTGGTAAAATACCGTGCAGTGCCGAGGTTTCCTACGATGGAGCTAATCGTGGGGAGCGGATAGGCATCCTTACGAGTCACTCCGTTGAGACGGCGATAGTCTACGCACAGGCGATGACTGCCATCTTTCTTGGGCACCAACACAATAGGAGACGCCCAGGCGCTGGGCGAACGGCGAACAATGCCAGATGAGAGCATCTCGTCCAGAAAGCCGTCAATGACCTGCCTCTTGGCCTGGCTGACGGGCCTGGGGTTACACTTCAAAGGAAGCGCGTCGCCAGTTTCGATCGAACGGCTCACCAAATCGGTACAGCCGGGTTGATCGGTGAAGAGCTCATCGTATTCGCGCAACAGTGCCGACAAACGAGCCTTCTGTGTATCATTCAATTGAGTCGCACAGGCGATCAAAGGATGCGGAGCCTCTTCGTGTTGTGCCGCTCGATCCCGATGGGGATTTTGAGCCGACGAGTGCATAGCACAGGGGCCTGCCCCCGAAGTTTGCACGTGACACGGTTTCGACGCTTCAACTGCACAGGCAACAGAAAGCGCCGATGGGCTGATGAACGGCTTTAGCTCGGAAAAAGGTCCGTCGCGATAGCCTCCATTCGCAATGTCCACTACGATACCGGTTTTTAGGAGAAAGTCCCGACCGAGAATCACAGGAACACTGAGCCCTGGAAGATGAACGAAACGCGCGCGTCTCATTCGGCCTCTTCATCTGACAGTCAACCTCGCGGCGCCCGCCGACTGGGCCATGCCTTTCGCGAGGGTGAATGTCGTTCGGCTGTCCCGCAAGCGCACCGAGCGCTTCTGAAAGTGGGACAACACCTGTTCGCCAAACAACGAAACGCTTGCGCCCGTGTCCAGCAACGCCGAGAATTTGCGACCGACAATGGTGACCGAAGTAAACGGCGCATGCGCACCAGAAAGACTGCTTGCCCGATACGCAGAGGAGAGAAGCAACTGTTCGGCCGCTCGTGCCTTCACGAACGGCCCGCGCTCCCGTTTCCCTGCCTCACAGGAGGCACAAACGCGGAGCACTCCCTCGCTATGTGCCCTCGTTGACGGCAGCGGAAACAGGGCACTCCATCGCTGTCCCTTTCCCGCGACGGAGCAGCTTCGAGCTGCCGGGGTGGGTTCGCCGCGCGATCAAAGGAACCGCTCTGACGACCGTTATCACCGGTGATGCGCTGGGTCGGATTTCGTCCCTGCTCGCGCGCGTCGAGTTGCGATGCAGCACCGGCTGCCCGCCTCCCGTACGTGTAGGGATCTAAAGCTCGATCGCTTATCTCCCACGCGCGCCCACCTGTAGCGGTAGCCGCAAAGGCAGCTCCGGCGGGCTGTTGCCGCTGAGGAAGGGTCATGGCCCCTCCCCACGCGCAGCGCGGTTCGAGGGCCTGGCTGGCTGGCGGTGGCGGGCGATAGGAACGCGCGGCGAGAACGTCGCCTTGGATGCGCTTTGCCTCGACGGCCAATTCCTCCAAATCACGGAAGTGACTGCCGCGCAGGTATGCCGAAAAAGTCGGATGTGCCTGCCTAATCACCCGTTCGACGCGCTCCTCGTTCGAGGCTCTGGGCACAGCGATAGAAAAAAGGTCTTCCATCGCGCGTACGTACTCCTGAAGCGACTCATCAGGAGCTTGTGTGCGGAGCTCGAGCTCGCGCCGCATCCTATTCTCGTAGTCAGCGGGTAAGAATTCGCGCAGGAAGGCCGCGCGGAACTCATCGAGGGTTGCTGCTCGGTGGCCGGAAAGCCGATGCCACCTGGCCGCCGTGTCAGTCAGTGCAGCCGGGACGACGCGTCCGAGCACTTCCTGGTCGTCTAGACCCATGGCTCTCTGATAACGTGTGAGGGAGTCCAGGTAATCTCTTGCACTTTGCAGATCACCATACCCGCTGTAGGTCGGAACGGCCAACATGACAGAGGGATGAGGGCGTTTCGGAACGGCCGAAAGCGTTTGGACTGCCCCCATGAGTGCCTGAATCATTTGGGCGGCATTTTGCAGCAGTGTCTGTGCGCCTGCTTCAAAGGAAGCTGTCGGTGCATTAGCGGTGCGGGCGAGCGATGGGGAACTGTCTCCGAGCTCGATAAGCAGCGCGGTTTCAAAATGGATACCGGCCGTCGCGACGTTGGGGAGCGCCTTTTTTTCACAGCTGACTTTTGGGGCAGCTTCACTAGGCCGCTTGCGGCTAGCGGTGCAGGCGCGTGCTCGAAATGAGCTTGGCTGCTAAGTTGCGTAGCAGCCAGCGGGCAAAATTCGGCAACGGCTGAGGCCGCGGTGCCGATCTGCGCCCCGGAAGCTCCACTGAGAGCCGTTTCGGAGCACTGTGACATGGAACTGCCATGCATTCCAAAGGGAGCAGTAGTAGTCCAATTTGCCCTTGTGCACTGTTCGGGTTGGGCTATGGCCCCGGACTCAAAACACGCTACCTCTCCAGTGGGAGCTGATACGTAGCGCCTCGTGTCATCCCTACTGGGGCTTGTGACAAGTGAGGGTGCGCGACTGTGATGCTCAAGGGGGGCACTGGCCTTGTTCTCGAGCAATGCGGTATCTGCTAAAAGCGTCAGCGGACAGAACTCACGCGGAGCAGACATAACGCGGGTAAACGCGGCGAGCCTGATTCGCAAAGGCGGGCTGACTCGGCTAAGACTAATCAAAGGCTTAATGAGCCTTTGATACCGCATTGGGTGCCAGTGTGGTGACCCCACCGCTACTAACGTTGGGCGCCAGTATAGTGACCCCGCTACTAACTGCAGCGGACGATCACCGCGAATTCACGCTTAGCGAGCCACTGGGCCACTACTCCGTTTACCTGCGTGTAGCGCACCGCTTCGCGCGCGCTCAACTAATAAGGCATTTAGCGCGGCGCGGCAAAGTAGACAGTGTTCTAATGCAAAAGTACACAACACTTTATTGCCTCTGGCGGCACCCCGAACGACAGTACAACGTCCGCTCCCGGGACGCGGGTAGCAAAGGCACCCGCACGCGGACGTTCACAATAAGGGGAAAACTGCGAGCACGTCGCAGCTGGCAATGGCGAGCTTTGACACGCCGGTCGGGAAAAGGTCCCTCGCGGCTATGCTGCGCACTCTCACGATGGCCAATGGGCCTGGTCGCGAGTGTTAGGGCAAACCTCGTACGCGTAGGCCTACGGCAAGTGCGGCTCGTTGTGGTACGACCACTTCAAGCACTAGGCACCGCTCTGGGCTTAGCGTACGCTACCGAAGCTAGCACTCAAGTAAACACGCCTGCCGAGGTGCCCAAGACCACCCCGGGCAGGTTACAGTCCGGCGATACCCAAAGGGGACGCGGACGAAAGAAAACACGTGCTTACCCGGCGCCGTCCACGGAGAAAATAGCGCTCCCTCGGCGCGCGCGTACCGCGTGCCGTGCTCGCACGTGGCGCCATTTATCGCCACGTGGTGTTAACAGAGCAGAAAAGCAAAAGGGTGTGGCCGTGTGGCGGAATGCCCACGAAATGGTCGCAGGCGCGCCTCAGATCCCCACAAAGTGCAGGACCATTAGTTTCGTTTCCAGGGCTGGCTTCTGCTCGACGCACTTACCGCGGGGACACAAACTCATGCACGGGAAAAATAAATGAAAAGGACGCGCACATTCCCTTTTTGTGTCTCATTATTTATCTCAAGCTTTATTAATCGATTCGTGCAACAACTTACAAAAGCTACGCATGTCGTGTGAAATAATTTTTACCAAGACACGTGCTACTGTTGGCAACGTCAAAGCACAGTCTACGTAGAGAACCGACGTCACAGCACTACAGTCTACGTAAGGCAATTCCAATGTCTACGTCATCCCCTCATTCTCTGAGTGTGCACCCATGAAAGGAAGGGCAAGCAGCGTCCATTTTAAAGTTTGACCCATTTACACGGTGTGTATTATAGCAAATTTGGGCAGACATGGTCGTGAACGCCCCATGTATGCATTGCGCTCGTCAGCTCAAAATTGTCGGACCCGGTGAGAGGCCCTTTAAAGGAAGTTACATGCAGACTAATTTTCATTCAATAATGAGGTGCTTTCACGATTTAACACTCCTCCACTGCAGTGAAACCGCTTTTATGGGGGTTTACGTGCGAACTAAAACACACCAATTCGTTTACTTTAAATACTTTGAAATTTTCAATAATTTAAATTTGAATCCAAGAGAATCAGAATACTGTACTATTGGTTCGAGTATTCTAAGCATTCGAATATTTTCACAAGCCTATTATTGATCCTTCGTTCGTTTCCACAATCACATGCGAGCTGTAGTAATGTGCCATAACTCGTTGCTGCGCAGGCTCTTGTCCCAGTTTGCGTTTAACCTGAATCCCAACTGGGAGCTGCCGACGCAGCGAGAGCCTTCACAACCGCTGCGCGAAGGCGTGCGCGACATGCTCGTCAAGCACCACCTCTTCTCCTGGGACCTCTGACTCCCACGCGAAAGAGCTGATCCAACGACACCATCGACAGGCGTCTCCATTCGGCTGGCGACGCCGCGACGCTGTGGATGCGTGTGCCACTAGCGGCCGCATTGGTACGATCGTTTTCCGGCCCGCACAACTGTCACGGACACGTGGCACAACAAGTCGGCACATCTGTCGTGTTGCTGACAGTATTGCGTGTTGATCTCCTACGCGCCAAATAGACCCTTTTTTCCGATTCAGTTAGCCTTCTCGGCATCATGTATTTGCCCAGCTAACGATTGTGGGTTGCAGGTTTCAGTGGCGGCAACGACAGCATCGTACATGAACGTGTCACTGTGTCCACATAAATGCAACTTTGAAGGTGCACCCGTCACACAGGCATTTGTATGTGATGTTTTTCAATAATTTCTGCTCTCTTCATTGAAGGCTTGTTCGTGATTGGCTGTTTATGATATGGCAATTTGACCTTTCATTGTGATGGCTTGGCATTGGCCATTGTCGTAGGCTGCGGGGGTGTAGCAGTTACGATGCTCTGCTGCTGACCTGAAAGTCACAAGCTTGATCTCAGCCGGGGCGGTCACATTTTGATGGAGGCGAAATTCTAGAGGCCAGTGCACTGTGCAGTGTCAGTGCATATTAAAGAACACCCTAAGGTCGAAATTCTCGTAGCCCTCCACTACGGCGTACCGCATAGCCATATGATATATTTAACTGATACCTCGATATAACAAACCTGGATATAAAGAAATATTGGTAATAATGAAGTATATGAAGAATAGTGTTGCAGTAGATATAGTGTTGGAAATAGACCTTTCCAATAACTTTTCGGTTATAACAAACTCATTTTCGTGTGAGATGCAACTATTTTATGAGATTTCAGTGTATTCTTTTTATTTCACATTGCCGCATTTCATTTTTGACTGGATACGATTACATGACCATCATTGTTGCCTGTACAAACTGAAGTGTTATGCAGCTAAGCAAAACAATAAAAGTCAAATATCTGGCATGAAAAAAAAAAAAAGGAAAACGGTGAGGAGACAGCATTGCACAACGTGAATGAATTTTTTTTTTTTTAATTTCCCGATTTTGTAAACATAGCAATTTTTTTATACCTTTGCACGAACCAATATACTTGTGTAGTTGGAAAAATACAGTAGGTTGGCAAACTTCACAAAAGTACGTACCCCTCGTGATTATGCTACAATGACATCAAAGTTCTGTCATGAAAAGAAACTTTTCAAGCCAGATATCGATATAATGTATTAGCTTCGTAATCTGACCAAGTTGAGCTGTAATAATTGCCGGAAATTTATGTCAGCTAATCAATGGAGAGCTTTTGCTAGAAGTCAGGGAATATTATTTATGAAAAGAAAAAAAATAGTTCTCGAGGTCCGCCGCATGTATAAAGTGTACAGTTGGCTCTCACAACCGGTTTCCAGCTGCTTTGGTTTTACTTCTATCGATATATCAGACACAGGCTCACATCTAGTGTCACTAGTTGCTCCTATTACGCGGTCGTCACACGCGCATGGGCACGCATCAGCGCTGCTTGAAACTGTCTTGGAGCCCACTTGAATCGAGTGAGAATGAGCTGAGATTTCATGGACGACAGTACATCAGCTTCAAGTTTCATGGCGATGATGTCTTGCATCAGCCTGAGACATTCGTAGCCGTTCATTGGTTTGTTTTGTTTACATCCTCAAGTTATCTCCTCCGCCACAGGTGCATATAGCTTCTGACCTTTGTGCCTAATCTTACACTTACTCAGGTTATGTGCGTGGTCCACACTTCGCCCGGGCGCGGTGTGGTGGGGCTGGCTGCAGAGCTTCTTCTATTGTTAAGGAGGCCCCCGGATCACATCTTAGGCTAGACTACGGAGTAGTGCGAAATGTTTTGAAACTGCTTGCGACATATTTTTTTATTTTGATATGCACAAAGATGCAAAGGAATATGCTTAGCTGCAAATATTGGAACGCCAGCTTATACGGAGTGAGGTGGCTCATGAGAAAAGATGACGCTAGATGAAGTAGCGAAGTTCATTGGACATCACATTTATAGAGGGATTATTCACATCACAGGGATCCATCTGTATTGGAATACCTGGACACTCTTATCGCAAGGCAACGAAAATTTACTCAGAGTGTACGAGTACACTTGTGTCTCGCGAAAAACCATGCAATGCTTCTCTGTATGGCATGAGCAATGAAGCTGCATTCCGGTTCTAATTTTCTTTGTCTATGTGAAGAGAAACATTTTGTACAACATCAATTACTTCTATACTGTTCCTGGGTCATTCATCTACAAAATGTATATTCTAAATTTTCTTTGCTTTGAACATTTTTGCATATAGAGTGTTTTTTTATTCCACTGTTCAGCAGCTGGTGAAAAAAAATTTTACTTTTCACATTTTTATTCATTCTAAAATATTTTTCTTGCTCTACTACATATATCTATTGGAAAAAGCATTTCATTCTGCTAAGTTTGGTATGCTGCAATGAGTGCTGGAGTACTTTTCAAACTGGCAAAAATGATCTTCCCGAGACATATGAAGAACAACCATTCTTCGCGGTAATGAAAGAGTTAAGAAAGATGAACCCCTCACCTGCATATGTGGATGCTTGCCTATGGCTACTGTATACACTCAAGCTGCATTATAACAAAATTGCATGTTACATGAAAATAGGTTCGCTATATTCGAAAATTTGTTACAAAGGTATATTCCCAACACTATTTATACTGCTGGAATCTTTTTTATATGCTTCGTTATAACCAATATTTCGTTATATCGAGGTTCGAGTGCAGCCCGTGGTTCGGTCACAGGGCCACGTCAGTGTTTTTAAACCTGCCACACGCACGAACCGGGCATGTGACATTGCCGAGCGCTTTTTAGCCCACCATGTCGCCGTTAGCTGGGCAAACCACAGCCTTGCGAGAGGTGTCTGTCGCAGTCGTTTGTAGCTGAGAGAATACAGTGCTAGCAAAGTTAGACAGAAAATAAGGGTTGAGAAACTAAAATGGGACAAAGTTTCATCACAGGAACCATATGCAACACGGCACAGAAGAAATGATAGACGGTTCTCAAGCTGCTTTTGAAAGTGATGCTCTACTGCGGTGTTGTGTTTTATCATAGTCCAGAATCACTTCCCAACATATGACTAGCCTAAGTTAAGGCCCGCATTTAACAAATATGGTCGTAGCTTGGCCCATACTGGCGCTCTTAAAAGTTTTTGCCTGAAGGATGCTTTAAGTTGTCCAAGCTGAGAAAGCATGTATGATTTCTGGTGGAATGCGAAGGTTTTTATAATGTCTAAGAAACATTTGGACAAAGTCAAAAGACAGCCTGTGTGGGCTGAGATCTTTGCCCCGTGCCTAAAAATGTTCATAGAGCAGGTCCGTTTTGAACATTATAGTGTGTAATTGTGCTTCAGTGTCAGTGAAAATCGCACACTGATGAAAATGTGCTTTGAGGACACCAACTTTGGGAAATTATAGTTTTCTGAACTGCGGTTATGATATTTCTAGCATTCTCACTATTGGGGCAGCGGATTTGCTTGGGAGCGGCTACTCATTGCTTCCAAAAAACGGAGCTTTCATTTTTGTAGCGTGGCTTTCGTTTGCATCGTGTGTCCGAAAAGTTTCGTTTTGCAGGGGTCTACAACCAAGGCAGCCCAAATGCCAGTTTTCACTGCCGTATGTCTCTGCTGTCATTCCATATTGGCCTTTATTTAAGTGTACGAGGGCACAGCGTGAACGACAAGGAAAATTAGGTGAGTCGTTGCCTGTTGGAGTTGTTTCAGTAAATTGCTCTTTCTCGAGAAACTTGAAAAAAAGCAAAGCAGAGCAGCACTGATTGCACAGATAAAAAACACTGCAGGCACAAAATATCTAGTCTTCTGGCATGTTGATCAGTCGGTCCATGTCGTACTCAGTCGCATTGCGGTTTTGCTAGTCACCTTCGTCGGAAATAGCAGTTTTCAAATGAAAGGCTCTTCTTTTTAACTGCTTCTTGAGTTTTTGTGGCTGGCATCTTGCCTGGAGCTTTGCTCCAATACTCAGCATAGACAACTGAAGAGATGGTGGCCACCTTAAGTTTCTTTTCAACTCTGGCACAGCCAGCATCTAGAAAGAAATTTGCATGCACAGCATCAACATTGAAAAACACTGCTAGCTACGTTTGTGTTCAGAAGGTGGCGGCCCTCTGTGATACACGGAAACCGGATTGGACGGTTGCCTGCGTGCAAAGAAACACGGCCATGCTTTCTTACGCGCGTAGTGTAAGACGGGTCCAGATTTTCGTGGGTTTCCACGCGCAGGGTTAAACACATGCTTTCCTTAACCTTTTGCCTGTTGCGGAGCGATAACGTCAAGTTGCAGAGGTTTTCCTCAAGTATGTTCCGCTTCTCATTATTGAAGCCGTCTTCTTGGAAATCATAGTAGACCGTCTTCAATGTCGGACTAAATTATAACACATCCTGAAGCACTGGCTCGCCGATAGAGCAACAGGTGTGATTTATTTTGTTGTGGCTTTCACTGAAGGTTTGGCGCCTCGCACTCCTAGGAGCACTGTAGAAATGTAGTTGGTGAAAATTGCGTCTTGTAGGTGCAAACAGTAAAAAATGAGATAATTAAAAGAAATGCCTCAAGTCATCTATAGCGGGGCTAACGAGACATGCCTTGGGGCAAGCACCTCAATGAATAAACGCGCTTTCTCCTGGGCAAGGGTACATGGTAGAACATGTAACCTAGCTTTTTTTTTCTCTCTGCATCATGAAAACAATGATGTTGCACTCCTGTTGCCTAGCTCAAGTTGTCTAGCAAGAACGCATATCACGATCTGAATAGTTTGTGATAACACTTAGCACTGTTCTTTGCATCAAGAAAGTCATCAAGAAAAAGAATGCGTGTTTGTCTGTCATGTTTTGCTACATCTCCCAAAGCCAAGACATTTTGATTTCTTAGTCAGCAGCAGAAGGCCAGGGAGCCGCTGAGGTGCTGCAGCCAATTTGCATTCCATTGGAGGCGTGTTTGTCTCTACATTGATAGGTTGTGACCAGTTGCGTATTGTAAGTTGAAATTAGCGGTCTAGTCACATCAGCATTATTGTTTTTTTACTTCCTACAACTTTTGTTCTCAATGAGTGGCACCAGTGTGCCACCATTGGCTCAATTTTTTATGGCCTTTTTGAGAATCAACATTTTTTCATGCCCTTTTACGAGCCGAATCTAGTCACGGGATTCCGAGAGAGGGCTTCATTCACGTGTCCACGTTTGACAGAGAAATAATTACCAATCTAGCAATCTCGCGTGTGTACCACCTGCTAGTCCAAAAACTGTGCTGGTGTTTGCAGTACTAGTTAAAACAACTACTCACGTAATATTTTTTTCCTATTAATCCTTTTTTCATGCGTAATGAAATTATTGAACCTCGAAAACCACATACAAGATGCTTGCACATGCTGCAGCATCGTGAATAATTTAATATAACAGGTTTTTTAGCAGCCAGTATTGGTTTTGTTTCCGAGGAGTATTGACTGTATTCTGGTGTCACGACCCAGAAAGTGATCGCACGGTAGCAACGTGTTACCACGTTTTGACAATTGC